CAGCTGATACACCCTTTAAAAAAGTTAAAATAGTTCATTTAAATTTCTTTTTAGAATTTTTTCGTACTTAGAAATGCAATAAAAAAATTATAAACAAAAAAAGTAAATGCTAAAATTAGTTGACATTTTTTGAATTATCGTTTTTTAAAATACTCGTATCTTCTAAAATTATTTTTATTTTAATTAATTTTATTTTATTTTCTTGTAGTTTATTTCTTCTTATGCAAAGAAGAGACCAAAAAAATATCTTCTTTTCTCTTCTATGTGCATACATACAGACTTACATATACATATAAGTCTAAACAAACCATCATCAGACATTTAACCGGTTGCTGTTTTGGTCAATTGAAGGGGCTAACATTCGACACACGACACTCGGGACAGGTAGCTAAAAGAGGCCAAACAACAATACAACCACCGGAGGTCAAAGCAACGCTTCAAATGTGTCAAGCATCGGACAACAAACACGTATAAAAGCGTGTTACAAGCGTAAAGCAAAGGCAAGGCAAATATAGGCACACAGACATACACTCACAAACAAACCCACCCGTATGAAAAGTAGCACAGTGTGTGCGAAAAGCGTGCACTGCTAGTGAAATCATTGAAGATATGTGAAAAATGAAAAAATAACGGTATTGTTGTTGTTATAAGTTGTTTCAAAACGGCACAGTGCGTTAACTCTAAGTAAAATATTAAAAAAAAGAACTAACGCTTTTTACTTGGAAGTATAGTACTACTTGAACTGCTGTCCTTTTAGAGCACTCAAGCACGGTTCGATATAAGAGCACTGAAAGACGGTATTTCAAGCTCGCTAAAGTCGAAAGAAGAGCCAATACAGTGAGTATTGTCATGCCACAGTGCAGAGGACAAAGGCTGCTTACTTCCCAATGTTACGATCGACTACAGCGCACGTTGTGTGGAAGAGATACCGACAGTTGGAAAGGAAAAGGAGAGGCCAAAAAGAAAAGAGGCTTGAAAAGCTTTAGAAACAAGTCGACAAGATGGTCCTCGAAAATCTATAATAAGATGGAGCAACCGGAGCACACTTATGCAAGACTCAAAGTGGTGATCAGATTTACGAAGATAACACTACCTTCTGCGGGTTAGGGGCTCAAGAATTTACCCGCGGTAAGGCATGCCTGTCGTAAGAGGCGACTAAAATCCAATAGTTCCCGCGACAGTCGGGTCTTTATACCGGAACGACCCGGATTTTTATCCGGCCAAGGACTGTCACTCCCGCAACATTCCCCAAAAAGTACTTTGGGGAATAATTTTGCGGTTACAACAACAACAACAATACGAAGATAACACTTTTCCACTTGTGAAAAATGAAATAAAAAGGAAAGTGAACCTAATTTCACAATCAATGACCATTGACCCAACTTGCCAGACTATGAAAAATTCCGAATAGCAATGCCCGTTTGAAGAAAAATAAAGCGGCGGTAGCTAATATTTTATAATATTCCAGTATCATTTAGCATATCATATATTTTTTGTTTGGTGTTAAAAAATTTCAGTACTAAAAAAAACCACTACTTGGAATAACTTTTTTTTATTTTCAGCACAAGCGTCTGATTAAATATGAAATACAAACTAGTTGAATTTTTATGTATTAAAATTTTAAATTTTTTAGTACAAGTTTAGTACAAAATTTAATAAAATATATGTTCATATTCAGTATGTACCTTCTCCAAAAAAAAAACGTTAAGCTTATTTAAAATTTTTTAGAACATTTTGTGGTACTAAAAATTAAATTGTTTGGCAACGGGAAAAGAGAATTTTTATAAAAAAAAAATTTGTTCTAATTGTCTAACTAAATTATATATATTACGAAATCCCTATTATTCTATTTAAACTTGATGCACGAAAATTCTTTACATTTTTAGTACAAGTTTTTAGTACTTTCTTTTAAAGAATATAAAGCCACATTTAAAAAATATTTTAGTAAACCTTTTTGTACCAAATTTATTTTGTTACTATGTAAAATATTCTTAATATGCGCATAAATAGAAAATTGAAAAGAAAAAATATATTACGTCAAGTAAAAAGTTCGTTCGGTTTTTAATTGGGTTTTCAAAATATTATAACTTTGTGTACATTTGTCCGATTCAAGTCAAATATGCGCCGTTTTGTTCGTAAATTTATTGCCTAATAAGATTTTTCGTTTTTAAATTTAATTTTTTTTCTTGTGTTAAGTGCTAAAATTATGTAAAAAATAATTGCTAAATATGTTACAAGTATTTTTTCCAGAAAATATTTTAATGTTCATATTTTTCTAATAACTAAATTTACCATAAATCGCACCTTCAACACCACCGTGCCAACGCCGGTAAAATGCAAAGCAACAGCTTGCCTGGGCTATAGCAAAAAAACTGACTTACATACAATATCTACATATATATATATATGCATACAACAACAAAAGCCAGAAAGGGCAAGCAGACGATAAAGGAACTGTTGAAACAACAAAGACCACTTAAAAAGAGCGAGCTCAAACAAACAACAACAAGACAAAAAAAAAAACGAACAAACATGCCCACACACATGTGTATGACTGCTTGCGCCAGAAAATATGTTAAGCAAACAAGTGTACAAGCATATACACCTAAATACTATCTATATATGAGATATGAAACAAAAAGAGAGTGGAATATGTGAAGATAGATATGTCAAACATATGTACATGTTAACATGTTCATAATCATATATATATATATATATATATTTATATATATAATGCTACTACTTACTGTATATAAATATTTTTTTTATATGAATATTTCCTTTAATACCCTTTGCCTGGCTACCTGTTGGAAAATCACCTATTTTCTCCCTAAACTAGAACAACAAACTGGGACTCAGACATAAAAAAAAGAAAAATATATAAAAAAAAAATAAATAAAAATAAAAATAAAAAGTAGTACATGAAAGCGCTCAAAAAAGCTATATACATACATATTTATTTGACGTCCGGCTACCGCTCATTCACCGATGATCAGATAAACCCGGTCAACAGCACAGTCAGAAGTGAATTAACACTCATGACCGACACTGCGTCTAAGTGACCAACCAAGTAGGCACACGGAAGTCGTTTGGAAAGTCTACAAAACGCTAATAATCCAACGAGAGAGACAGAGAGAGTAAGAGGTGAGAGTTCACGAAAATCTCATAGTAAAAGCCAGCACTGAGAAAATATCCCCTTACAAATAGAGAGCGCACAGTTCTTGCCTCTGTTCAATGGAGTTTGGAGAATGCGAAAGGTGCGTAAAGTTTACTTCTAATATCCTTGTTTGTTAGCGTTACAGTTACTCTCCACTTTCTCAGTGAACTCAGATTTAATCATTCATATTTCATGAAGCTGTGGGAAATTTCTACTGAGCGCTCTGCTTTTTTTCATGTAATTACCTTTGTTGGTGGCACTGTTGCTTTTCAATAATAAATATTTACATACATACATACATATGTATATATAATATATGTCGAAAGGTGCGCTAGATAGTGTTTGTGTTTATATAAATATGTTTGTAGTAATGTCTTTTCATATGTGTATATATATGTGTGTATATATTATATGTGTTTATGAAAGTTTTTAGCCAATGTTGTCTTTTATATCTCTTTATATACATATACAATGTTCTTGTTTATTAATTATTAAAAAGACAGTGAAGTAGCAACAACGGTCCAATGTAGAGAGGCGGTAATCCAAAAACAAGAGCTATAAAGTACCCAAATGGAAATGGAAAGCGGAGTTCCTTCTTATTTTTTCTTCTTTATTTTTTCTTCTTATTCTTACTAATCTTGTGAATTTTTTCTTCTTCTTCTTCATTTATCTTCTTTTTATTCAGCTGTTTTATTATTCTTCTTCTTTTCTTCCTCTTTTCTTCTTCTTTTCCTCTCTTTTTCTTCTTCTTTTCCTTTAAATTTTTACTCATTTCTTCTTCTTATCTACTTCTTGGCTTTTTCTTCACTTCTTCTTTTTGTCTTCTTTTTCTTTTATTTTTCTTTTATTTTTCTTCTATTCTTCTTTTTCTTTTATTCCTCTTGGTTTCTTTTTCGATTTTTTTCCTTCTTCTTCTTTAGATCTTCTTTTCTGCTCCTTCTTTTTGTTTCTTCTTCTATCTTCTTCTTGTCTTCTTCAATTTTCACTTCTTCATCTTTCTCATGCTCTTCTTCTTTAACTTTTTTCTTTTCGTCATCTTTTTTTTGCCGTCTTTGTTCTTCATTTCCTTTTCTACTACTTCTTCTTGTACACTTCTATTTTTGTTCTTCTCTTCTCTTTCTTTTTTGTTTAATTTTTTATTCTTCACCTTCCATTTTCCTTTTCTTGCACTTGTTCTATTTGTTCTTTTTCTTATTACTATTCTTCCTTTTCTTGTATCTATTCTTCTTTTTATTCTTCGTCTTTTTACCAAGCTCTGAAACATCTCCAAAAGCTATCTCTATACTTCTGTATATCTAGTTCTCTCATAAGCTTAGGTTTAAACGTTCTATCCAACCAACCATCATAGACATTTCGTCCTAGTTCGCAGCATATCCATATCTCTTCAGCTTTTTTAAGAGCTTGAGAAAGGCTGTTTTCATGGGAGAGAGAGGCAGAGAAAGAAGCCTCTCAAGAGATGGGACCCTAACTAACGCTAACACTTTCTCAACGTACTATGACCTCGAGGTCGAGTCTTCTTCGCTTTACGTAATTAAATCGCACTGCGTTTCCGTTTGTTTGTGGTTGTCGAACAGATTATATGTACTTGGAGCTCCTTTCAAACTCATTAAAACAAAAGTGCGTTTGATAACAAGCAAATCTTTGGTTTTACAATACCCACGTTGTAAATCTTCTTCCTTCATAACAGTAAATGATGGGCGCTCTAAATAAAATAACGATAAAGAATAATCTCAATATGAAAAATGACAAATAAACTGATAAGATTAAGCAAATTGAGTAGATTTGACGGTCGCTCATCAAACTCGATTTAAATAGCGCGACGCTGTGAGCCATTAAAGTATAGATGAAAGTGAAGTCAGGAGCCTTACGTTGAACCGCCAGTTAGAATGTCTGCAGTACCGAGGCTAAGCTGGATATTGTGCTGCTTGGCCATTGTGTGTGGACCACAGCGCACTACGCAGGTACTTAGAGATTTAGAAATAAAGAAAAACGGGCTTAGATAATTAACGCTCAAACTTGCAGCACTCACTGCCCACGGATCCCACGTACAATGCTGGCGTGGTCGAGTTCATACCGGGTCAGGGCAAAGGTAGGTCCAAAGTGAATGAAGCTTTGCCACGTATGAAAGCCATTATTGAATCGGAGGCTACAAGCAATTTAGATATACTCATCTTTCCCGAGTTCGTGCTGAATGAATACACCTTCCGCACATATGTGCCGGATCCCGCTTTGCGAATTTCACCTTGTGAGGTGCCGAACTACGATTGGTTTCTCACCGAATTGTCCTGCGCTGCGCGTTCGCGTCAACTTTATGTTGTTGTAAACTTAATGGAGAAGGTATTTTGTGCAAACGACACAACAATTGTGGGCCGCTGTGATGCGAGTGGTCTGAATACGTACAATACGAATGTGGTGTTCGATCGACAGGGTCATGTAATATCGCGTTATCGCAAATCACATCTCTATCGCTATGAGTGGTATAATGTAAATGTGTTGCCGAAACCGGAGCTCGCCACCTTCACAACCGACTTTGGCGTGACTTTCGGCCATTTTATATGCTTCGATATGCTCTACTGGGAACCGGCTAAGGTGCTATTGCATGAACGTGGTATTACCGACATAATCTATCCAACCTATTGGTTCAGCGAGCTGCCTTTCCTCACCGCCGTGCAGCTGCAAGAAGGTTGGGCTTTCGCCAACGATGTTAACTTGCTGGCTGCGGACGCTAGCAAACCGAGCGGTCAAAATGGCGGTTCTGGCATTTATGCTGGACAACTGGGTCGTCTCAATGCTACAATTACCGAAGTGCCCACAACACAATTGCTCACTGCTGCAGTGCCAAAGCGCGCCTTTCGTCAAAGCTATCAACCACCACCGGTAATACAACCTGCATTTGTGCCGCAAGTCGTTACACCACGTCTCACCGAATTCGATCTCTTACGTGACTACAATATCGATATCGCCACAACACGTCTTTTGCCAGCAAACTTTACGTACGTCAACGAAACCGTATGCTATGACAGTAACTTCTGTTGTCATTTCCAGGCTGCACGTACACCTGTCGCCAACTCAGCTGGTTACGTGTCGTACCGTTATCGTCTTGCTGCATTCAGCGGCCAACATGCCACACATCAACGCGTTGACCCGGCTGAATTGCAGTTTTGTGCTGTGTTTGCCTGCACGAATGAGGCGCTCTACACTTGTGGCTTGATCTTTCCGGCAGAGATCACAGTTGGTAATCAATATTATTTCAGCGCTTTAAATGTGAGTGCCTCCTTCCCCCAACGGCCACGTCGGCTTATCATGCCGACTACTGTGGATGGCAGCCTAATGCCGTTGCCTGTGCATACGTATGATTGGCAGTCGAGCGAGAGGTGAGTCTAGTTTTTAAAGATGTTTTTGCGGGCGAATAATAATTTACTAAATTCTCTCTCATTCTCTTACGCTATTTCTTGCTCTTAGCAATGTTACCACTACGGTCTCCTTGAGTCTGTCTTATCCGAAACACGATATACTCACCTTTGGTCTCTGGTGCAATTACTATACGGACATGGTGAGCTCGCACAATTTCGATCCGTTGCTGCCTCCCGCAGAAGGCATGAACTCAGGTGCTTCGAAACTGGCAAGCGCGTGGATTTTAATTACCTCTCTGTTGTTAACAGCCTTGAGACAGCTCTAGCTTAAAGTATTTTAAATAAAATATTATTTTATTATAGTTAAAAAGATTTTAAGACTTTTAGTTCGGCTGTTATATGCATGCAAATAAGCCCAGCCCACTTTATGATAAAATAAATATGCTCGCATTGCGATAAAGAGATTATCATGCGTATATATCGCGCGCGGTTCATAATATCTTTTATTATCTGAAAATATTTACTCACTGATTCGATTCAGAAATTTATTATCAGACAAATTAAATATTCGCAAGAAATAAATTCCAAGATTTGCATATGATAAAGACCTGATGAAGAACACTGCATGAGCGTAGTCTGACCCCAATCGTCAGAAATGGGCGCAAAGTGTGGAATAAAGCAAATATAAGTGATACTTGTAGAAAAAATGGATTTCATTAATTCTCTTATAGTCTGCGGTACACTTTAAATTGTTGATTTGTTGTGTTTGAGCCAGTCATTCTTATGTTTACAAGCGTTTAAGATGGCTTTACATACGATCGTCGACAGCTCTGTGCTGGTTATCCTATCTACAGTGGTTCTACCGACCTTACAGGTAAGTACTGGAGCTCGCAGTCAGATCTCGACGAGTCATAAAAGGCTGAAGAGCCCATAATATAGCGCCAGCCGCGCAATATACTCACGGGAGAAGCATCAAGTGAACGCTAAGAAATAAATTTTTATGAACAACAAGAGGGAGGACTGCTGTTGACTTATGTCTATTCAAAGACTATTGAATTACCGGCCGAAAAATCCAAACAAAGTTATCACTGGATGCCTCAGTGGTATCAGAATTTGTCCGCTGACTTCGCGGTGAGAGAAAGGCACAAGTCGCGGGCGCCATGTGTCTTCTGGTTGATTATTCCGGCTTTGGTCCTACTCGCTTACATCCGTTAGATGTTTGAAAGCTCACACTCAATTTTAGGTAAGAACTTTACAGTGAGCGGAAGATTGAATTTCACACCGATGGTTGAGCACTAGTCGCGAGCTAATTTAGCTCCTGGCCGATTATTCTTCTAAAGGATCTAATCAAATGGAAAAATATACTCAAACCTTGGCAAAAAACATGTTAGATGGTGAAACTACGCTAACATAGAACACCAAAGTCCTTTGCACAAGACGCGGGCTCCTTTAACTTATGACTGCAGCTTCTCGCTTACCCGAGTCCTAAATTTGAACAAGCGTTATTACCGAAAACCGAAGTACCCGCCTCCAGCAGCGAGCTCTTTTAACTCTTAGCTGATCCATATGTACGAAAATGCTTGAGAGACCATTCGAAAATCTTGGCAAAGACATGCTAGTCTGAAAAAGACTATAACATGGAACTCTGAAGGCCTTGGTATAAGACTGAAGCTTATGCAGTTGCTTGGAAATACAATTTGAAACCTTGATAAGGAGTTTGTAGTGGAAGAAGTTACAAAAAAGGTTTCGTCACAAGCCCGGAACACTTAAAACTTCTGGCTGAAACTTTTTGCTAAGGGTAGTCCAGTATTTGGTTCTTAAATATGGTTAAACGCAGGCATCTCTCGACAGATCTCCTGCATGCAACTATACCAGCATTAACCAAGCTTCTTGGACTGTTTAGCGAACAGGATATAAATATTGTAGGGCCTCACTCGCACTCGGGAAGTGCAGTTCCAGCTTTCAAAACCCAGTGTGTGGGATCTAGCCTTAGTTAAGATTGAAACTTACTTGGCGGTTATGTACTTATTTGAATCCCAAGCGCTGGAGTTTTCCTTCTTCCGCTGCTAATGACAGCAAGGGCTTTTGAGTTTTTGATCTCTGAACCTCGAAATTTGCCTTGCTGCCAATCTAGAAATATACACTTTTTCACACAGAAGAAAACTAATTACTTTTACTTATCTCTTTTCTTACCATTTTTAGCACACACTGCCCTCCGACGTCACATATAATGCCGGTGTTGTCGAATTCGTACCGCCGCCGGGCGAAGGTGAACCGAAAGCGCGCGAGGGGCTAAGACGTGTAAAACGTATTATTGAGTCGAATGCCACACGTGACTTGGATGTACTGGTATTCCCCGAATATGTGCTGAACGACTACTCCTTACTGACGTATGTGCCCGATCCAGCGCTGAACATTACACCCTGTGACACACCCGATTACGACTTTATCACAGAACTATCTTGTGCGGCGCGTTCGCGTCAACTCTACTTGGTGATACATGTGAAGGAGAAGGTCTTCTGCGCTAATGATGCACAATTCGTGGGCCACTGTAATGTGAGTGGCATAAATACGTATAGCGCTAATGTGGTATTCGACCGTCAGGGACGTGTCATATCGCGTTATCGCAAAACAAATCTCTTCCGTTATGAATGGTATAGTGTGAATGTGTTGCCCGAACCGCAGTTGGCGACATTTACTACCGACTTTGGCGTTACTTTTGGTCACTTTATAGGTGCCGATTTTCTTTTCTGGCAACCAGCACAAGCACTCGTTAAGCGTCTCGGTATCACGGACATTATCTATGCCACATATTGGTTTAATGAGTTGCCCTTTCTCACCGGCGTACAGTTGCAAGAGGGTTGGGCTTATGCCAACGACGTTAATCTTCTAGCAGCTTGTGCGAGTAATCCAAGTGATCAAAATAGCGGCTCAGGCATTTATGCCGGACGTTTAGGGCGTCTCACGGCGGTAATATCTGAAGAGCTTCACACACAAGTGCTCATCACTAAAGTGCCTAAGCGTGCGCATCGACGCCAGGAACAAGCACCACCTGTAATGCCAGCCACATTGGCGCCGCCAACCCCGACGCCCCGTCTGACCAAACTCGACCTACAGCGTGATTACAATGTTGATATATTCAAAACCCGTCTGCTCACAGTAAACTTCACAGCGGCGAGCGAGACTCTCTGCTACGACAGTCAGTTCTGTTGTCATTTTCAGGCAGAGCGCGCGAATTGGAGGAGGTCAGCCGATCATATTGCATACCGCTACCGAATGGTGGCCTACAGCGGCCCACATACGACTGTTCAACGCTTGGAAACGGCGCATTTGAAAATATGTGCCGTAATTGCCTGTACTAATAACGAGCTCTACAGTTGTGGACACATCTTTCCGACGGGTGTGACAGTTGGCTATCCCTATTATTTCAGCTCATTGCAGATAAGCGCTTCATTTATGCATGCGCCGAAACGTCTCATCATGCCGACTAGTGTAGATGGCGCCTTGTTGCCGTTGCCGGTGCATTCGTTTGAGTGGCAGGAGCGCGAGAGGTTGCAAGGTTTAAAACTATTTGAGTAAATGTCCGAATTATTATTTTTTTTTTCAGACCTAATACCACTGACGTAACCATAAGGCTGCTGTCGCCGAAGTTGGATTTGCTAACTTTTGGTATTTGGAGCAACTATTTTCTGGAGAAAGTAAGTCAACACAATTTGGATCCGGTGCGGAGGCCAACTCAGCGGTCGAGCTCAGCTGCCGCTACTGTCGTTGTAAACTATTCGCTCTTAATAACGGTATTGATATTGCTTGTACCATTTGTCCAGTGTTTCCGGCACTAAATGTAAATGTAAAATAAGAACATTGAGGAAATAAAATATACGGAGTTGCCACCAGCTTGAAAATTTTTAGTAAAAAAGTACTAAAATATATTTTCGAACGGAAAATGTTTGAAAATGCGTTTTGAGTTGAAAAAAGTGTTCGAACAGTGTTGCCACCTATATAACTACATACTAAAAATAAAATTGCATTTCAAAAATATTTATTAAGTATATTATTAAAAATATGTTTTTCGAATTATGACGAATTAAAAATGCAAACAAATAAAAAAAAAATTGTTGAAGTGTTGCCATCTGCTTAAAAATATTTAATTTAGAAACATTTACTAATTTACTGGGTTATTAAAAATATGGGTGTCAAACTAAACAAATTTAAGAGAAAATAGTTATTTTTCTGTGAATTAAGTAAGAAATGTTGCCACCTATTTACAATTTTTTTCCAATTTAAAATAAATTCCAAGAAGAGATCTCATTTTTATTCTGAATTTCTTAATGCATTTTTCGAGTGGTTCGATATGTAAGAATATTGTCACTTATTTCAAGGCAAAAATATAAATTAAAAAAAATATATTAAAAGGCAATCAGTTGGCCACACCACCAAAATTTTTTTTATATTTTAGTGTAAAATATTTAGAGCAAATAGAACCACAAGAAAACGACGCAAAATAAAAAAATTTTGAAAATAATTGAAAGAGAGAGTTGTCAGCAGTTTGTAATTTTCTAAATAAATAAATTATAATAAAAAAAATTGCTTGAAAGAAAATACTAAAAAATTCTTGGAAAAAGTTCCGTAAATTGTTGGCGATGAATATATAAATAACTTGAGAAAGGTTGCCACCTATAAAAAAAATTAATGGATTTTTTTTTTAATTTTCAGTTAAACTATTTATAATAAACATACGTAATAATAAAAAAATGGCACAAAGTCAAAAATTTTGGAAAATAATAAGAAGAGTGTTGCCAGCAGTTTGGAAGTTTTTGTGTAAAAAAATAGAATTTTCAAAAATTACTGAAAATCGGTATGGAACTGAAGAAGTTTAAAAAAATTCGTGAGCCACTGCTGATGAATGTAGAAATTGTTTTTGAAAGGTTGCCACCTGTTAAATTACAAAATGTGTTAAATTAAATTTAAATAACGAATAAGAAACTATTTTTGGAGAAGTTGCCATCTTTTACGGTTTTGTGCAAAATTAATAAAAAAATGAATAATTTAAATTTAATTTAATGTAAAACCATCTTTTCCACATGCCTGTATAGTTTTTTAATTATTTATTTTTTTTTAATGTTTTGTTCATACATATTTTTAAAGGAGAGTAAATAGAGAAAAATTGGAAAACTCATTGGAAAACCGAACTCTAGTTATTATTAATAAAAAAGTTGAATTTGAAGGCTTTTTATTAGAAAATATATTTTCAAAAATAATAATAAAAATATAAAATAAATTTCTACATATGTATGTATCTACATATTTTCAAAAATATGTTATTTATAATTTTATTCTCCAATTTTAAGATTTTTTCAACAGAAATTTTATAATTTCTAATTAAATTATATAATATTAAATCTTAATAAAATTAAAAAAAACTTTAAATAAATTCAAATATATTTATATTCAAAAATGTATTTATTTTTACAGAAGTAACTGCTCACAACTACCATTTTGGTATTTTCACCAAATTTTCATATTTCACTTTACACCGCTCCTCCCGTCCACTATGCGTCATGCGCCTCAGCATCACAAACAAAAAGCGCTCTAAACTAGCGAGAAAAATTTATTAGGTAATTAAAATTTTTTTCTACCACTACGTTCACCTGCAGCTACACACATACATTCACATATATACAATACATACATATGTACGTATGAATGAACGGAAATTACAGCATGCAACAGTTTCCTCTATGATTTACACATATTCGCAAAAGCCATAACAAAATGTAGCTAATGCTGAAAGAAATAGACTGGTCGTGGTGTGGTAATTTTGTAACTACTGATGGGAGCATTTCTTAGTTTGATTTTGCATCAATTATTTTGATCTTTTATTAGAATCAATTTGAAATCTGAGTTCACATCTTCTTCACTCCCACCCTTTTTTCTTCTTTTCTTCTTCTTCCTTTTATTATTTTTATTTTTGCTGTTCATGTTTTTCTATTTTCTTCCTCTTTCTCACATTTTTTTTTCTTTTTTGCAAGTACTTTGCATATTCAGCAATTTTTATTTATTTCTCTTTCTTTCATTCGAGTCTCTGCAGGCCTTGATATCTCTTCGTGCGTAAAATATTTGTGTATTCTTCTTCTTCTCTTTATTATTAATTTTCCTTCTGCTTCTTTATTCTACTCTTTTTCTCGTACTATTTCCTTCACCTCATCTTTTTCGCTTTATTATGCTTTAACTTCTCCGTCTCCTATCTTTTTCTCTTCTTTTTTCCTCTTTCCAATTTTCTTTTCGTTCTTCCTCCTCCTCTTCTTTTATTCTTCCTCTCCTTACAAATAAACATTAATTTTTATTTACCGCTGTTGTTTTCGTGGCTACTTCAGACCGCGTGGTCCGTTAATCAAACTCCGTCCCCTCTTGGTTGCAAGCTCGTTTCTTGCCACTGGGTTTATGCACTCGTAAACAACTATGCGTATCGTAAGCACCAGCCAGCCAGCCGGGGAGTGCATGGCGTGTTAGGAAAGGTTAGACTAAGTTTGTTCACCAAATGACAACTCATTCCAAGCTATAACACAATTCAAGGTAAGACTCGAGATTTTAATACTTTATTTCTACGTCTGAAAGGGAGCTTTGGCAATGTAAGTTTATCTCAAATCGGCACGGAGCCGAAGTTATCAATTTTTTTTTAACGTAGGAAACCAAAAGAGAGGACCGAAAAAAAGCCCACAAAACTGAAGAATCGTTCATTTCTGAGCTCTTAAGACACCAGTCCTATCAAAGGCCTTTTAGAGAGTAAGCATCTGTGAGTTGAGAAACTCCTCAGCATTAAGTGATGGAAACCTCGTCATTTGTAGGTATTCAGAACTTTGTTTTGAGCTTAGGAGCCAGGACTCATTAAAAGGAATGACGATGTATAAATTCGAGGACAGAAAAGGGGCGCTTTTGACTGTAATATATCCACTCGAACATCTAATACTTCTTAAGTGGATTTCTAGGCAAGACATCGCTGTGAGAAGTGAAGTTAATATTTCGTCATCTAAATCAATATAAAGGCACAGGTTCACCTGGCAACGCAAACAAGTAAAACCACTAAGAGCATATGCAATAACAACAAAAGAAACAACCTATTCTTCTTCTTTATTGACGTTGACACCACTTACGCGATTATAGCAGAATCAATATTAGTGCGCCATTCCTGTCTTCTTTTCGCTGCCTGGCGCCAGTTAGATATACCAAGTGAAGCCAGTTCTCCACCTGATCCTTCCTCCTTCTCCACTTCCACCAACGGGTACTGCATCGAATACTTTCAAAGCTGGAGTGCTTTCATCCATTCGGAAGACATGACCTAGACAACGTAGCCGCAGTCTCTTCATGCGCTGAACAAAGTAGCAGCTGTTAACAAGAGTTATTCACCGTTGGATTTCAAGGCTAAACTTTTTATTGGTTATTAATGCTGGACCCTAGATAGACGAAATTAACTACGACCTCGATGTTATGCCTTTCAAGAGTGACGTGGGAACAGAGTCGCGAGTGCGATGATTATTTGTTTGATGGCAAGCTGTCGAAGGCTGCTCTCAAATCAGCGCGAAGGTGATATGTGTCGATCCTCTTTTCACGGATGTAGTTTTTCACTCAATACGCGTGAGAGGACATTCATTTCTTGCTTATACGAAAAGAATTGCAAGGCATTTGTTGGACTAATGACGGGTATCACATGCAAGCAAAATGGGCATTTGTAGCAGTGATACATCTAGGACTACAGGGAGGAAGGCAAGAGTGAGGTATTAGGACACTTTCTCTGTTTTTGTCCGACCTTAGCTAGAACTACTACGACTAGATATCTCGTAGCTTGCCAATTCAAATCGCTAGAGGAGGCTTCAAAGTTGAGAACTAAGGTGTTCGTTAACTTCGCAAAAGGCGTTGAAGTCCAATGCGAGGATTACTTTAGATCGCAACAAAACGGACCTCCATCTCACTTCACTAAGGAGTAATGGGTCTATGTAAGGCACATCAGCCGACCAGTATAACCGAAGTCATCACAAAGTATAGACATTTTTTAACGTAGTATTGAAATTATTCTAAACGATCTCTTTGTGACGAGAAGGAGTTAAGATTCAAGGAGGTGTGAGCTACGAAAATAAACTTCTGAGTTTCAGTTCTCCAACCGCGTTCGCATTTGGACTTACCTTATTTGTTATTGTATGGCTGTTTTTGCGCTGAAATATTGGTGTGATATTTTTTCTACATCTAAGCACTTAACAGCCACACTTTTTTTACTTTTTTTTGCTACTCTAACCAACCGTTCCTACTTTTTAGTTGGTTAACTTTTTTCCAAAAAAAAATTAATTTTTGCGCATTTTTTTATTTTTGTAATTTTTTTCTCACTCTTTATTACTGATCCTTGAGCGGAAATTGCTAACAGTTGAGGTAATTTAGAAAATCGTATGTGTGCGTGTGTGTGTTTGTGCGTGTGTTTGTATGTGTGCGCATGTAACTGCATACTCGTATGTAAATATAATTGCCAGATTAAAGGTCACTCCATATTTCAAGGTTAGAATTTTTGAAATTTAACAAGATTAAAAGCATATTTATTGGGAAATTAAAAGAGAAAAATATTTTCGATGCATTCATTAAATTCGAAATTTGCCAAATTGCGTGTGTATAATTGCGTATGTGATTGCCAATTGGTATGAATATTGAACTTCGTCAAAACGAGGTCGTGGAATTAAGTTAATATTTTGAAGGAATTTTCAAATGGACAGTTATTTTACACCGTTTTCAGAGCTTCACAGTGCACAGACATAAACATTCAAATTCATTCCAGTCGTTGAGCATTGAATAATAGTGTCCGGGAGACATCCGGGAGCGTTCATTTCCCGTGGGGTCTAAAGGAAGTGTTGTTTGTTGTCGAATTTCAATGTTCAGCAAGTCGTCTACTTCACAAATTTCGAGCGTGGAGAGTTTCTCCAACTTTAAAAATGTGCTTAGAGAAAAGAAAAGTAGAAAAGCTATGAGCTCTGTCATACAAGAGGATTTTCTAGAAGGCCTTAGCCGGATGGTAAATGCCAAAAAAAAGTATTTTGGCATATATCGATGGAGCTTTGCCATCAACTCCCTTGAAAGCACTGCTAACTCTTCTCATCCTCCTTCCTGTGTACCTATGAACTACTAGCAGGTTGCAACGCAATGAGATTGAATGCAACTCAACCTTGGAAGAATTGCCGTGTATGCCAGTGTACGCTTCGAAATTTTTTTCTCCACAAGAATCCCAAAACAGATACGAGTGGGAAAGAACCAACGCCCCCCACCAAGGAGCAATAGCCACCTTCACAGACGGCTCGAAGCTCGATGGGAGGATGGGTTGCGGAGTTTATTCTCCCGTGCTTTCAGTAAGCATGAGCATGAGAATATCGGACGTGGTGCTGGTTTACCTCTATCCACAGCTAAGTACATGCTTAAACTGACATTCATCAGGGAAGCTGACGCACGATGACCGAAGTTGTACGCCAAAAAATCTAAACATCTTCTCTTTCTGAACCGGTTCCCCATTAGCATAGCGACGAGTATAATAACTGGACACTGTTTAATGGGTCTACACGGTATTAGGATGGGCTTTTACTCTAACGATTTCTGACGCGGCTGTAGGGACGAAGAAGAGGAGGAGACCATCTAGCAATACCTCTGCCACTGTCCATCCTTGACATCTGCGCGACACAAGTTTCTTGGGAAACACTTCTTAGACTATCTTGCTGAGTTGGCCTCAGTGAGCATTGGAAATCTTGTATATAAGGCACACGAAAGGGTTCGATCATTTCAGGAGATGAAGGCAGAAGCCTCAGCTGTATCACAAAGGGACTACTGGTCTAAGTGTACTGGGGTTTGACCAGCAGTCACATCAACTCAACTCATATATCGAATGTCAGGCTCTCTCAGTGGCGACTTAAAATAAACTGCAGATTTCTCCATTTGCTTGATCTGGTCTCTTCATGCTGTTGACCCTTGACTTGGCGCAATCCGTCTCAACGGAGCTTCTGGGTCCTCCTGGTGGACTTGGAGTTCACAACGGTACATATTAATGGCTTCAAAAGATTATTTAAGCACATCAGGTAGTTGCATGAGGCGATATAAGGGTGTGGGTACTGCGGTGGTATCAAATGGGCTTACCATCTCTACGCGACACAAAATATTTTTGCCTATTCGTCTATACAATGTGAAGTGAGTTGATGATTGTGTAGTGGAAATTCAATCAGCCGCAAACAAGGAGCTCACACTACCTTTCGATAATCTTTATTAGGCGATCGTCTCAATATTACCATATCCAAGTAAAAATTTCTGTCCTTAAGAAAGTATCCTCACAAGCCTCTTCCTTCGGTACCAAACCGCAGAAATATAACCAACAAAGATGTGCTCTCAACGTGGCAGCTCCAGCGGATCTTCCGAATAAAAACTGCCAACACTTTGTTGAGAGTTAGAGAGAATAAAGATGCAACAACTTAGAGAGCTCTTCAAAGATAAGTATTTTATTTATGAATACACTTGCATAAGTAATGAAAGCCAAATCAGCCAAGCCGCCGCAACAAATCCACCAGCAGCGTCCTTGTTATGATGGTCATAAGCAGTATCGTCCAAAAAATAGTTCGCATAAATACCAAAAGTCAAGAGATCAGCCCGTGACTGTACCAAAGTGAGGTTAACCACAGAGACATTGCTATTTACGCAGATGAGGGAAGCAAATTATTTGCGGAATCTGTAAAGGAAAAATCAACTCAAATCAGATCACACTCACCTATACTCCGCCACCTGCCACTCGAACGCATCCACAGCCAGCGGCATTAGCAGACTATTCACACTCGTCGGCAGCAATAAACTCGGTCGTTTACGCGTAAAGTTGCCAGTTATACGTATCACATCGAAGGTATAGCTCGGCACCACCGGCACGTTCTCCTCATAGATGCGGCCGCATGTGTAGATATGATCGCCAGTGCAAGCAAAGAGTGTACAAACCGCCAACGCTTCGGGTTCGGTATTGAGAAAGCTACCAATGCCATGAAACGCCGCCAATCGATAGTAATAACTGCTGGTGGAGACGTTTTCGACCAAATTCGCGTGTCGCTCTATATAGAAATTGCAACATAAATCATTATGACAAAGTTGTTGTTGTAGTGTTTCGCTTTCGTTCCCCAGAACACCCAACGGTTGCGTAAAAAACAAATCAATATTATCGTTACGTGCGAGTGCTACGCCTGTGAAACGATCAAGTACATCGTCTTCCAGCACTCTGGTTTCACTTTGAGCCAACTTAAAGTCTTCCATGACACGCGTGTTAACGGTCGTATTGTACTTTTTGGGCACGACGCTCACGTGGAGTTTACTTTGTTTCTCGTCACTCGTCATGGTGGCGATGAGCGTGCCATACTTGCCCGCATATATACCGGTGCCGGTACAACCGTTGTGTGGATCGTTGGTGCCGGCAACAAGCAGATTGACGTCGTTGCTATAAGCCCAAGACTGATGTAGCTGTACGGCTGTGGGGAAAAGAAGAGAGAAGTGTTAAAAAGTATTTATGGTCGTGAGTTGAGAAACTCTAAGGAAATCACTAATCAAAGCCCAAAATCCTATACAAAAACAGATAAAAAATTTCTTCAAAAACCGTTATCCTTGCGCCACTTATGTTATAACAAATGTCCTACTCAACCCATTAATACCCTTCCCTCCTACTCACCCGTCATAAAGGGTAACTCCGATTGCCATTTACTCGGATGTAAGAAGTCCGTGATGCCGCGTTGCACTAACGCTTGAGCCGGGCGCGCATATAAAACATCCATGCAAGTGAAATGCCCGAAAGTCACATTGAAGTCAGTGTGGAATATGGCTTCCTCCTCGGGCTGAGTGGTGTAATTAAAATACAACCACTCACTGCCAAACAAATTGTATTTGCGATAACGTGAGATCACCGTACCGCTACGATCGAACACCACGTTGGTATTGTAGATGGCGCAGTTAGCGATTAAATTTTCAATATCCCCTGTTTGTGTACAGTTCTCTACTTCCACCACATTGATAAGCACATACAGACTCAGGGTACGCGCATAGCAGGATGTTCTGCTGATAATATAATCGTAATAGACTTCGTCCGCATCACAAGGTAACACCGCTTCGCTGGGTTTGGGTACGACTATAGCCGTTCGTCGATCATTCAATACACCCTCCGGGAAGACGACAATATCCGGTCGTATGTCTGCATCCTCGAGTAAACGTCGAAATTCCCCCAGACGCTTCAAGGTGGAGGCAGCTCCGTTTACGGTAAGTGCGGGAAATTCAACTACGGCACCGATATAGTAGTCGGCGTTGGCTGGAGTGGGCTGTTGTATGTTTGAAGGAAAGTTTTTAAAAGAAGATTTTTTGGTTTTTTCTTACACAAAGATTACCTCGCCTCTTATTGCCACAATCCAGAGGGTGTAACAGATGTAGTAGTAGTAGAAACTTTCTTTCAGCCGCATTATGGGTGTTACAACTAGAAGCTCATCCAGACATTGAATTCTCGTCTTTGGTATGGAAACTCACTCGACTGATTCTAATTATGCCAATCTTATCAGCGACTATTTCGCAGATTTATAAACTCTTCTTATCGCATTGATATCTTCTTATCGCGATAATATCGACAGGTTTTATGATCCCTTGCCTTATCAGTAAGTTCCTGGAAAGTAAACGCTTGCCAAATAATCAGCAGTGATTTACTGTTAAGGTGATCGCTGGGTCTGTAGCGTAGTCCATCGAAAGGCGGTTGGCTTTTTGAGAGACAGTAATAGTGTTAGGGCCAATGGTAAGGCATGGCATCTGATATCCAATAGATTCTACGACAGTTGGGCTTTTATACGCCAAGAATTGGAACTCCCGCAAAATTCCCCTAAAACAAACTTGGAAAATTTTTTTCCAACAACAAAAAAAGGAAGATGACGGACTGTATACCGGGCTTAACCGAGTAATGACCAGTATAATCAAGCCAATAGTCTCGAATGAAGGCCGAGAAGTGAAATGATCTGTTTCCATGGGTTACAACAAAAAAAAGGTAAGTAAGTTGTTGTTAGAGTGCAGGGCATACGTTGACTATTTCTAGGTCCAGTCCACCACAATTACCAGACTTTAATCTTGCCTGTATTAGGTGGGTCTCACGAGAGAGTACGAACTCTCAATCTATTATGGGTATTGGAAGAGAGTTAAGAATGGTATTGGCTGAATATCTGTGTTTAAGACCCATTTAGCAGCTCCCCACCTTCACTTATTATGTCTCGGACATGGCTCTTTCTGCACCATTATCAAGAAAAGCCTCCAGAATTCTAAAGCAATCTGTGTTTTAGTTGTTGTAGCCGCAAACATATTCGTTTCAATTGAAACTTCAACCGCTCAGCGAGTTCTGAACTAGCACCTCCACATACTCATGATCAGGGAAGCTCCTTCTATTTGAAGATACAAACACTCGGTCACAGTGAAAGGCCTGCGGGAGACATTGTCCAACTGGCATTTACAATATAAAGCTTGGAATTTGTTCGAATACCATTCTCGCCTTTAAGAAGAGACCTTTAAATTTTTTATGACTTGTCCTGTGTTTGGGATGTTGAGCCTGACAAAGAGCATTCGCTTACCAACGCAGAGGAGCAACTGCACATGAACATTACGCCGACTTGTCGGTTTGGAAAGCTTTAATCATTGTAACGTCTCAATGTACGATTCATAGGAGTCTATGTGGGATCCACTTGTGATAAGAAACATCTACCTAACCTAACCTAACCTAACCTAGAAAAAATATTTTCGATTATTTTGATATATCAACAATCCTATCAGTCCCCAGTGCAGTCCGTCAGCGATCAGCATCCAAATTGATCAAACATTGATGTTCAATATTTCAATTAATACATACGCATATGTAAATAGCATTTATTTATATTTAAAAAAAAAAATATAAATGATTTAATTATACCAAACTAAAGCTTAACTGTAATAATATTGAAATTGTACGCTAGCTAAAATTACTCAGCAACCGTCACCACTTCTGAACCATTTACAGACATCGTAGCATCCTCTTGTTCCTCTGCAAGTGCTACCGCATCATCCGCAGTTATTTTTGCCGCCGCTTCAGCTAAATCCGCTGTAGCCTCAGCCTCAGCCGCAGCTGCTGCAGCAGCTTCCTTGGCCTTTTCGTACTTGTTGACTTCTGCAAAGAGGCAAAGAAATATTAATTTAACTTCAAAAAGGGTGCGAGAAATTGACTTACCAAATTTGCTGATATCAGCACCCAACAAACGCAAGACATGCACAGTCTCATTGCTATCGACATATGCGCGTAAGCTGGACGAGCCACGCCAACCGACCAAGAAAAGTGTGAAACGTGAATCTTCATATTTTAAAATACAACTGCCAACGCCTGTAAAACAAAAGAAAAAAAAGAATAAAAATCTTTAAGATAAAGAAGTTCACTTCATATGTGCTATACCTAATTCCTTGCAACGCGCCTGAGTTTCCTCGGCTAACTCCAGCGTTGATGGTGGCTTTGTTGGATCAGTGCAATTGAGTAGAAGAATTAAATCCTCGCGCGAGATTTCTATGCGTCTTATTGCGCCCATAAAGGCATTTGTCGTCTGCAAACCTTCTTGCGCCAAACGGAATGGATGCGCTGTATGACGATTTTCGCAGCGTACAAATGTTTTTACACCGGTATTTATAATTTTTATAGTATCCTCATTTAACAGCACCATATCGCGTATGGGCTCGGAACAGTAATAGATATTCTTTTTCTTATCGGTGACGCAACGTGTAAGCAAACAGCGCTTATTTAGTGTATCATCGAGCGCAAAGAAGGATTTTAACTCATCCCAATCGGCATCTTGTTCTTCGAAGAATATGTAAGGATCTTCTTTATAGCCGTGCAGACGACGACGCTTCCGTTGTGGGCCCCATGGCACAGATTTCTCTTCAATTGGCTGACCATTTTCGTCTAATTTAATTTCTGGCTTGGGTTTATCAAGCAAGGCCTTCAAATCATTTTTCTCGAAAGGCAATTGGCGACGTTTCTCAATGACTGCCACAAAGAAGCCACCTGAGTCCTGCAGATGTGGCAATACGCGTAAGCATTTTTCCAAACCGATTTTTTCAATTTGCTCTTTAGGCAGTGGGAACATATTGGGTCTTATAACGGTGTGATACTTTTCGGGTACCTCATCGAAAGTGGTGAATATTTGATCCACTTCTTTGGTGGCCAACTTCCAATTCGTCATACCTGGCTTAAACTTCAAACCGGGGACTAAATGAGCGGCGTCTACTATCTCCAAAGCACCATCTGCGTCTGCGATAACACGCTGCAGCACAGCTTCATTTTCGATGGGATTTAGCGAGCACGTAGAATAGACCAGACGGCCGCCGACATTAAGCATTTCAGCACCACGTCGCGTAATTCGATACTGTATGCTGTAAATATTTTATAATTAAAAAAAAATGCGTAATAATAATATACATATATGTATATTTAAAAAAAACCTACCCATGCAAGTTGTAGGCCTGCGCTAAATTCCATTTCGTCCAAATATCGGGATTCTTGCGCAGCGTGCCATCACCAGAACACGGCACGTCGCATAAAATCTTGTCGAATTTCAAAATCGATTTACTACCATCAGCTTCAGTTTGCTATTAGAAATTTTTGGATATCAATTATTTTTCATGCTTCCCTTTTAACACTGCCTACTCACCAGTAAATTGGGAAAGAAACTGCTGTCATGATTAGTTACAACAAAGCACGGCGAATTAAGCCTCTTCGCCTGATGCACCAACATATAACAACGATTATTATCTACATCATTGGCACATACAAAACCTGGTGGTATTTTATGTTTCTCCGGCGCACTATGCAACGCTTCGATCAACTGCGCAGTTTTTGAGCCTGGCGCTGCGCACATGTCCAACACTTTGTCAGTGGGTTGTACATCCAAAACAAGTGGTGGTATCATCGACACCGCCTCTTGACGACTTATACTGCCAGCACTAGTTTCAGTAATTAAGAAATTGTGCAAGCGGAACAGCGGCTCAGAGCGGCGTATATCTTTGCGCGTCAATTGCAACTGATAGGCCAAACCATCGGGATACCAAGGTAGGCGTAATGGCCGTTCCACGTCTTCTTTAGGTACACCATGCAATTCGGCTACACTATCTACATAATCGGCAAATAAATCGGTCTCAATAATGTCGAGCAACGCTTTAGCTTCCCCACGAAAACCGGTCACACGGAATGTTACAGGTAAATTTTCGCGTATTTTAGCTAGAAATTGTTCCCATTCATTTTCGTCGGCGCATATACTTTGCAGCTGGTAGTATTTAATGAATGCCGCGTTTTCACGTTTAATATCTTCGTATGGCTCTTGGCGCACCGGCCGCGTATCAACACCTTGCTATTTGATGAGTAAGATTTGTATCGAATAAGTTAGTAAAGCTTTTAGTTTGCAACTTACATTCTCACGCTTCTGACGCTTTTTTGCGGCAAATGGATTTGACTTTCTGTTGCGACCCATTTTTTTTTAAATGCAATTTTAAGTATTTTTAATTTGTACGGAATTTTCCAACTTAAAAAACAAAAACTTTTGAACCAGTTGCTCGAGCCGCAACGTAAACACGTGTGAATTAAGCAACCCTACTGTCAGCAACAGCTGTTCAATATGATATGTGTGTTCGGCGAACTGCCGGAAATTACCAATTTTTACAAAGTTGTACTGAGCCGCATTCAGCGAGGCAAAGCTCAGTAAAATTTGCACCGGGAGATCGCAAAATTTGACACTTCGTTAATAACTACTTCTTTCTGACGTTTCTCATCAAAATGATGAACTGCGAGAAGTTACTAATTTTTGAACACTTGACTGAAAGATTGTTCGTGACGTGCAATAATGAATATTCAAATATTGAAATCTTTTATTCCGTAAGCAGTTCGTCTTGTAGACAATTAAATAGTTAGAATGGGATATTCACATTTTTCGTGGTGAATACCAGCAAAATTTTGACAGAACAATATTTTATATTATTTTATTATTTATATTATCTACTGGATAACGAAATTAAAGATTTTTGTTTAAACTATTATGAGTATTATAGAGTGTATAAAGCTTTACCAATTACATAAAGATTTATAACCCCATCTTGGTGCGTATATGTCAAAATTGTCACCGACGGATCTTCTTTTTGAAAACTGAAAATGGTTTTTGGTTGGAATATTTTAACAATTAACCGAATTGAAATTGCTCATGTCAAAAATATTATATTTTCCATTTATGTATAAAAAAAGCTATCAAAGAACGTATATTAATATACGTTCTTTGGTATTAATATACGTTCTTTGAAGCTATGAAGAAATATTGGAATCGAACTGTACCCAACAAACCTCAGCTGTTTCGTGAAAAATTGTGAATGACTAGTTAGAAAATAAGAAGCATCGCAGAATTTTCTTTCACAAAGTTTGTAAACAATTTGGGTGATTTTTGTAAAATATCATTAAAAAATGAAAATAACACAAAAAATAGAATTCGATGAAGATGTATCGTCGATTTGCGAATCTACGGTAAGTGAAAAAGGGTTTTTGCTGTTGATAAAGTTTAAGAGTTGTTTGCTTTTACGGCTGGACATAAACTGCATAATTTTATGTATTTGTTTGTAAACATAGTTATATTTTATAAAATAATTCACTTCTCAAGCATACAATAAATATTAGGGAATTATTTCAAAATTTCAAAACATATTTCAGGCTGCGCTTACCGAAGGATGTCGTTTACCGGTACGTATGCACAAAACTGAAGACTGGCCACTCGCTGAAGTTGTAAGCATCAAAGATCACGATGGGAAAAGGCAGTTCTATGTGCATTATGTTGATTGTGAGTAGTTAGTTATTTAAATTAAAAAGCAAATTATCTAAAGCATATTTGAATTAATTTAGTTAATAAACGTCTCGATGAATGGGTGACGGAAGAGGATGTAGATACACGCAAGGTACAATTCCCAAGACGTGACGGCACACAGACGGGCGCTAGCACAGGCGTAACTACACCGAAGAAACATCATTCATCAGTGCCAGGTAGCGTTTCAAGACCAACATCACCACAACCAACTGCCAGCAATGAAATGGTAAATGGCAATGCAGTACTAGCGGCAGCGTTGCAAAAGAAAATTAACCGCAAAAGAAAGGTACAAATGATTTGCATATTTCCTTTTCTATATAATAATAATTTAACACCAATAGCTCAATTCCGTACCTGCACCACCTGCCGTTGCTGTGCCTGAAACACCGCCACCCATAATAACGCCCACGCCAGTAATACCACCTACGCCTACACCCACCACACCAGCACCCATAACTGTGGTGGAAGAAGCTTCACAAGACGGCAAAACTGCAACACCACGCCAATCAGGCAGCATGGTCATACACCAGGATGACGTAGTGACGCGTATGAAAAATGTTGAAATGATTGAATTGGGAAAGCATCGTATAAAGCCTTGGTATTTCTCACCATATCCACAGGTAGTTCTTTTTCCCTCAAATACTTGTAAAATACTATAAATAGAAACTACTCTTTCAGGAACTATGCCAAATGCCATGTATTTTTATATGTGAGTTTTGCTTGAAATATCGCAAAAGTCGTAAATGTCTGGAACGTCATTTGGTAAAATGTAATCTACGACATCCACCTGGCAATGAGATATATCGCAAACACACAATTTCCTTTTTCGAAATTGATGGTCGTAAAAACAAAGTATATGCTCAGAATTTATGTCTTTTGGCTAAATTGTTTCTGGATCATAAAACCCTCTACTATGATACTGACCCTTTTCTATTTTACGTTATGACCGAATTCGACTCACGCGGCTTTCATATTGTTGGCTACTTCTCTAAGGAAAAGGAGAGCACAGAGGACTATAATGTGGCGTGCATACTTACAATGCCACCATATCAGCGTAAAGGTTACGGCAAATTACTAATCGAATTCAGCTATGAGCTATCGAAATTCGAAGGAAAAACTGGCTCGCCTGAAAAACCTTTGTCAGATTTAGGTCTACTTTCTTATCGTTCTTATTGGGCACAAACAATTTTGGAGATTTTTATAAGCCAAAAGCCGAATAGTGATGGTGAAAAGCCTACCATTACCATCAAGTATGAAACCACTCTTAATTGGTATTAAAATTTAAATTAATTTTATTATTTCTCTTTAGTGATATCTGTGAATGCACTTCTATAAAAAAGGAGGATGTTATATCAACATTACAAAATTTAAATCTTATCAACTACTACAAAGGACAATATATAGTCTGCATCAGTCGTGACATTATTGATCAACATAAGAAGGCAATGGATAAAAGAAAAATACGCATCGATTCCAAATGTCTACATTGGACGCCCAAAGATTGGTCTAAGCGCTCCAAGTGGTAAATTTTAAGCTATTGCATTTTAAGTTAAACGATTATTTATAATTATCACCATACATACTAATTAAGAGATAGACACATATTTATTTTAAACACAAACAAATTTTCCAACCTTATGTGCATTAGTTATCCTATTACCAAAGTATTATATGTTGATTTTCCCCACCTTTATTTATTCTCTCTTTTCCGCTCCACCGCTGAAAATGAAAGAAACTATGATTGAATCGCGTACGTGTTTGTAGATATGCCATCCTTCCACCAATCATACAGTCCAAATCAGCACGCTATTAATAAAATGAATCCAATTAATTTCAAATTGGTAGCCAAATACTGCAATAATATGTGTTATTTTTTTATTTTTACGCTAATTCCTGCGTCCAACTTCTTCGACAAAATAGTCGAGGCTTTGTAGTGTGGCGGTTTCTATTGTAGCTTCCACAGTTTCTGTTGATGATTGTACTGCGCGCACGGTCGCTTTACTTTCTGCCAACTCATCGCACAATTTTTTTAAATTATCATGTTTTTCGCAAGCGGCGAGCTTTGTTTTGCATTCTTCAACCTCCGACGCGTTGATTGTTTCTATAACATCACCACTGGACAGTTTATGAGCAATAGCCGCTATTTCCTTATCAGCTTCTGAAATTTTAGCGCTGGGCAAATGGTTATCGGTTAACAAGGCACAGCGGGTGGCTGCTAATGTCGTCAATTTCACATATTTGGAATATAACTGTAAATATTCTTCTTTCGCTTCCAAATACTGCCTGTTCTTTTCGTCTACTTGGCGCTTAATGTTGGTCTCGTCATCTCGAAATCGTCGCAGAGCCTCCAAATAAAGCAAGTATTGTATATCATCGGTACCACTAGAGGTGACACTCGGTGAGTTGGAGCCCAAACTGTTGGAAGATGTGGGAGTTGCGTTATTGGCGGACATTTTGTAAGAAAAAAACTACAACTCCTTCTAGGCTAAAATTGATAATCCAATTTGAAATTTTTTTAAATCTGCTTCTTCTTCTTTAAAACAGTTCACAATGTACACAGTTACAAAGTATTTACGTTGATACATGCTCAAAAAAAGTTTTAGAATTAAATAAATTTCCCTTTTAAATATTTGCACAAAAAAATGTAATAAGAACACCTGATTTACGGTTTTGTAAACTTTTTTATATCTGAATCATTATAACAAATCCAATCAAATTTGTTGGTTGCAAGCAACCCTTTTTAGCAACGTTTCCTTACACTTCCTAATGTGCAATTTTGACAGCTCTGTTGTCATTTTGTGTTGACGTTTCTTTTTATCAAGTTTTTCGCTGTTTAACTCGTGGCGTGTGTATTCTCTAATTTTTCTGCTTAAATAATTGCAAAAAGGTGAAATTACTATTTGGATTGTGATATATTCTAATTATAAAGTGTTATTCTCAACTATCTGTTATTTACTTAGATGCCTGCTGCTGATACCATAAAATCCTCTTGGGCCGATGAGGTGGAGCTTGATTACGGCGGCTTGCCACCTACTACTGAGACAGTTGAAAACGGCCACAAATACGTCACTGAATATAAGTACAACAAAGATGACAAAAAGGTAAAAGTTGTGCGAACATACAAAATTTCCAAGGAAGTTGTGCCGAAGACCGTTGCCAAAAGACGCACCTGGGCAAAATTTGGTGACTCCAAAAATGATAAGCCCGGTCCAAATTCACAAACCACTATGGTGTCTGAAGAGATTTTCATGCAATTCCTCAACTCGAAAGAAGAAGAAAAAGCTAACGATCCACTATTGGATCCCTCAAAGAATATTGCCAAGTGTCGTATTTGTAATGGTGAGCATTGGTCAGTTAATTGCCCATACAAGGGTACAGCCATGGACACAAATTTGATGGAAAAGAAAGCTGCTGCTGCTGCTACCGCTGTTGTTGAAGCACCTAAATCCGGCAAATATGTACCACCCTTCCTTAAAGACAGCCAAAAAGGTGGAATGGGTATGCGTGGACGTGATGATACCGCCGCTATCCGCATTTCCAATTTGTCGGAGTCTATGACAGAAGCTGATTTGGATGAGTTGGTGAAAAAAATTGGACAGCATAGCAAAATGTATTTGGCCCGCGACAAAAACACCGGTCTCTGCAAAGGTTTTGCATACGTGCATTTCAAACAACGCAAAGACGCCGCTGCTGCTATTGAGATTCTCAACGGACACGGCTATGATCATTTGATCTTGAATGTGGAGTGGTCGAAGCCACAAAACAACTGATCGTTTATGGCAAAGGGTGCAAGCGTGTCATGAGAGTATCAAAAACAACAAATATAAAATAATTTTATAATATAATCATTAATAACGTATATCCCATATGTGCGTATGTATTTAGAATTTCTGCGCTGTTTTACAGTAAATGATAACATTTGCTAAAAACATAATGAATGATCAAATAAATTATCCGTAAATATGTGAAAACCAATATGTGTTACTATTATATAATATCTATAGCATTGTTGGTATATTTCAATTATTTTACAGCTCCAGATTGCCTTAATGTGTGGGCTGAGTGGCGTCCGATAGAACGTTTAGCAACTTATCAGCCAAATGGGTTGGTACAATAAAAGCACTGTAGGCAGCACCATTGGGTAATGGTTTCTTTTGTACCCATTTATCTTCTTCCTCATTATATTCTTCTACGCAATCGACACCCTCGCCGTTTCTGGTGCCACCTAACGCCATTATGTGAAAATTGAAAACAACTGCACTAATGCGACTTCGCGCCGTTGTTAAGGAGCAAAGCTGTGCGTTGAAAGAAATAAAAATGTTTGGATATAAAATTAAACTAGTATTTAATACAGACTTTCATCCATTCATCCTTTATGGGATTATAACGTTCCACAGTGGCCAAAGGTATCTCGTTATATCCTCCCATTACATAAATATAGCCATGAGCGACAGCTGCCTACAAGTAAATTTACGTACTTTGGAACAAATACATTTAATTTGAACCACTTACACCTGGCGAAGCGCGCGCTTCCACCATACCCGTACGTGCTTCCCACGTATCCACCATAGGATCGTAACATTCCACGGAGTTTAGCGCACATTCATTCTCAGAGCCACCCATTACATAGATGCGTTCGTCAAAAACAACTGCTTTAGCACAATAACGTCCCTCCAACATTGGCGCTACACGTAGCCAATCGCCTGTGCGCATATCGAACCTATTATAAAGAGTTTAAAAATAACTGATAAAATGTATGTATATACGAGTATCTTACTTACATCTCCACTGTATTTTTGGTCACCTTACAATAACCGCCAATTAAATAAATATTATCATGCAATAACGCAACACATATCAATTCACGTCGTTTGCGCACGGGTTGTGGCGCCTCCCATTGTTGTTTATCCAAATCAAAGCGCACTAAATATTTTGTGCCAATAAAGACAAGTGAGTTTTTAACAAATATTGTGCCATAATCGGTCTTCTCGCCTAAAACCTGACCACAATTCGACCAGGAATCTTCACTAGGATTATAACGTAGAAAGCGCTTCTGTTAACGAGTTGAAAAAAGAAAAAGAAGAAGAAGAAATTATAAAAATGTATTAACCGACCAGTTATAATTATTCTAATTTACATTCTCATCCATTATATTGACTTCCACTGCCATTAGACAGTTGCGTGTATTGCGCGGCTTGGTGTATTTTAATTTAGTTTGCCAACGTGTTTCCGGCACGTGAAACCAATCCAACGCATCCAATATTAAACGCTCACTTCCTGGTATTGGTTTAATATGTTTGAACACAAATGCCGGCTCCAATTGTGTAATACGTAAAGATGACAGTAAATTTATTAAATATGGTCTACGATTTTCCTCATCATATTTATGCCAACGCATTATAGCATCAAAAACATCTTCTTCACTGTAAACATTCAATTCATCGCTCTCCACCAACTCCTCCATCAGTGTGGGACTGAAACGCATTAATTGTCCGCTTGAGAGTGCCTGTTGTTTGAGAATACAGGCACATAAAAATTATATAAAGAAAGTTTATTTAAAATATGCGCACCTCCTTGAAATGCTCTATGGCAAATACAAACGCTTTATTACGCAAATCCTTAAAACCATGTTCATCAGCGAACGAGATCACGTCCAATAAGTTGCTATAACTTAATTTATTTACTATAAAACGGTTGCAATAACGCACAATATCGTTAAATTGCAATACTTGTGCAGCTATTAGTAATTTGCGTGCTGTGCGCTCATCGGGCGAGAAATCGCCTGAGTAACAGTAGTTTATTAAAGTTTCGAAACTATTGGCATCAATATGTTTTAATGCAATTTCACTTGCATCCATATCTGTTGTAAAAAGCTCCATAAAGTATTGGCTTGATGCAGCCAGCACAAGACGATGTGCTGAAACGCTATAATGAAAGTGGCATAAAAAATTAACACTCCGCAAAACAATTAAAAATTTTACACACCGTTTCTGCCGCTCGCCAACAATGAAAACAATATCAATGAATTGATTATTAGAACGACATTCGCGCATTTGTGCCAAAAGTTTATCCGAAAATTTGTATTCTAAATTGCTAACGGACGACGTTTTGGTCATTGCTGCGGGCTCAATTTTATTATCTGCCATTTTTATGCACGGTTTTATCGAATTTTTACTATTTTTTTCTTATAATGGGGAAAAAAATTTTAATTTTGCTTCTTATTTATATGTATATATTTTAAATCGATTTTGTTAAATGGGAGTCTTCATGAAAATGTAACGACGCGTTAGGAAATAACTGCTCGTCTTTCGATTACTGGCACTTCCGGTTATCGATTATTGTTAGAAAAGCATCGCGTTTTCGTTCACAAATATGGAAATATTTAGATTTTTTCCGTTTATCAAAGAAATGCAAAAAAGCTTAAAATAACGAAAAAATATAAAATTATGCGGATGCAAAATAAAGTAATTAAACAACACAAAATATTCTCACATACCTACGCACATTTATACGTACATATGTTCAAGTTATAGGTGAAACAAGAATATGAAGGGTTATTCATTTCGAGGTTTTTAAATATTTTAAATATTTTTTCCATGAAATTCCTTTTTTATTATAGAGATCAGACCCTGGCATTATATGTGAAACACTGTATCACTCAAATCACCGCTTCACGCGTTTTTATAAACTTCAATTAGTCTGAGATGATTTTCGACCACTATTCGGCGCATATTGAGCGGTATCTCGTCCATTACTTCCCAAATGTTCGTTTCTAACTGCTCAATAGTTAAAGATGTATTCGCTTAAGCAGAGTCTTTCGCGTAACCACACAAAAAAGTTCAAGGGTGTCAAATCGCACGAGCTCGGTGACCAATTGACATCGCCAAGGCGAGAGATTACGAGGTCAAGAAATTTTTTTTCGCAATAAAGCCATATTCGCTCGTGTTGTGTGGCATATGGCACCATCTTGTTGAAACCACATATCCTCCAAGCCGGTTTCCTCTTTTGCAAGCCAAAAAGAATTCGGTAATCGTCCGACGCTAAGGCTCCGAATTGCCTGTGACAGTCCAGTCGTTGTCGTTTTCAAAAAAATAAGATCTAATCACACCTCCGTACCAAAGAGCGCACCAGAATGTAACTTTTTTTTGGTGTAAGGCCTCTCTATTTACGTATTCCGCTGTCCCCTGCGGGACAATCGAAGATGCGTACGGCGTTGTGAACGTACAGCTGGCTACAGTTGTTGTATGGGCTGGACTTCATATGGATGTAAGTGTAAGTCCAAGTGGAAAATACGACATAATGTGCCCTAAGAAAGTTCCAGCTCTTGAGCACTTTAACTGACAGTAGCGCTATTTGTCGTGGAACGAGGAAAAGGATGATGCACAGGACTTATAATATCCGTAACCGAAGCAATCTCTTCAAATTTCTTTAAGATTGTGCCAATTGCTAGAGTAGTTGGACGATTAAGTGCACCATAATCTCCTCCTGGAGTACCGGTTGTTGCCGGTTTTAACGATTTTTCACAAATGTCCGAACTAAAAGAAAACAGCTAAGTTTTACAGCTGCCAAAATACAACCCTGTACTTTTGAAACCACGAAAGGCTTACCCCTATAGTCTTTCCAATTTTAATGTATGAATCTTTATTTGATAAAAGGTTTGAGTTGAGACCTCTTCGGGTGGCATTGTACGATACAGCATTACATAATGTTGTTTTTATACTATGCAGTACTAAATATAAATAAAAAAACTTAAAAAAAAATGGCATTCCCTCGGATATTTACGTTTTTATTACTATTCGATTTTTTCAGAACATAAAAACACACAACACAAATAAAAATCAATAGTAAAAACAATAATATTTCACACTATTTTTTGTTGTAATCTTGTAGGTGTGACCAAATACGCCATTTTTGATATTTCGTACCTTTTCTCTATCAATACCTCCTTGTCTAACAATAAACAGCATCCTTTTATTTTTGTTGTTGGTTGGCATGCAGCTGTTGCCCATTGGCTTTAGTAAATGGTGTTTGTGCAGAAACTCACCCTCTTTCAGCTTGCAGCAATATACGTCAATCTGGTGGTGTCTACCCACAGCTGGAATGTATATAAAAGGATGCTGCGTAGTCAAGGACATGAAGCATTTGTATTTTATTGTGGCCGGAGGTAGTACGCACAAATTGCATAGCGGAAGGTGTATTGTGTAATGAAATAAAATAAAATAAAACTCTTAAAATTATTAGCCATTAAAAAGGTAATGGAAGTTAGAAAAAGTGAGCATTTTAATAAAGATCTGCAAATATAAGTGTTTGTAAAAACTCCATAAATTGCAAAAAATATATAGTTCAAGAAAATATACTATAGAAAGTGAGTTTCACTTAACAGCTTACTAATTTTTCATGCATGTTTGATTATTTCTTTTACCAAACTCGAATTTAATTTCGTTCACCTTTTCTCAGTTAACCAATTTGCATAACCATATTTATTTTATAATTGATCAATTTATCGATAATTTTAATATTACTCATACGCAATGTTCGCAATAGTTGAATGAATTATTTGCCTTATCATTTAGACATAATTTACATTTTTAATTTCGTAATATTATTATGCAATCAATTATTTTATATTCGCGAAATATTTAAAGGTCGAAATGTATAAAATTTGTGAAATGTGAAGGAAAATCCCCTTCAAAATATGCCGTCGGCTACTCCCTAATATACAATAGTCAAGGGTAGAGCAACAGCCGTGCGGTTGGCTGTGCCTGCTACTACATGGTTTCAAATTCTGGCTACACTGTGATCAAAATTATAGAAAATAAAATTTGATTGCGGTTACCCCTAAGCAGGGAAGGTTGATTCTTCCGAGTGTATTTCTGATGTGAAATGATCCATCAGTAATTCGGAGGTTGCTTGAAGAAAAGTGTAGATCTCTTCATTTGTTTAAAAACATTACACCATAAATCGGAATAGGAACACGATCGAAAATCGCTTCAGTGGTTATAAAATTTACGGCCATTTAGGTCTTGTATCTTAAACAAAAAATTAGCTAATGCCAGGGGAGCTGAAATAAAAATTAAAAGGATAAAACTTTGATTCTTGCGATAGCAGTTCAATATTCCATTTCTGATTCTTCTTCACTCCATTTATGCAATTTTATAAATATTAAATTTTTATTGCAAATTACAAAACGTGCAGTGCAGCACAAATCATAAACATATGTAGATATGTATTTAGTTGTCTACGTTCCATTGCTTAGGCGTAGCTCACCCCCGTACTCCTTGCTTTATTTGACTAGGTGTGAAAATATGTGCGAATAATAAAAGAATTCGAAAAATAATAACAATAACAAATATAATGTGATTATTTAGAGAATACTTAAACAGTAAGCACACAAACGAAATAAACGAAAGGGTTGGCCTATTGACACACGTTTGAAGAAAATAAAGCACAAACAAATATGAACTGGTAAACAGTAGTGGGGTAAGAGAGTTACCCCCTTAAGGTAAAGACCAGGCACAAACAATGCGCTTTTGCCAACGGCATACGTTACGCCGTGTGTGCAGGCGTCATAGTACTATTTGTTTAACCACAGGTTATGTGGGCGTGATATCTTGGACTTAGTAAATTTTGATTTAAAATTTTTTTAAATTTTTAATAACACATTTTTTAACCAAACACACAAATTATATGCTTCGTTACAGTAATTCAACTGCACTCACTCGGAAGCCAACAACATGGTCTACGATATGACACACATGGTACCCGCAGAAAGCATCTCATTGGGTCGTTATTATCTGCAGGATCTCAATGGTAGTGCCGAAAATCATGATTATGTATTAGATATCGATCGTCGCTTTCAGGCGCGTATGGCATGTGAGACAATGTCCCAAGCATCACCGCCACCACCACCTACGCCAGCACCACGACGACGTACAACACCAATAGCGCATTTGGACCCGTCCGAATTGGTGGGTCTTTCACGTGAAGAGCGTCGCCGACGTCGACGTGCTACATTGAAATATCGTACAGCGCATGCAACACGGGAACGTATACGTGTGGAAGCCTTCAATGTAAGTTTCGCTGAGTTGCGCAAGCTGTTGCCCACTTTACCGCCGGATAAGAAATTATCAAAAATCGAAATACTCAAATTGGCTATATGTTATATAGCGTATTTGAATCACGTACTGGAAACGCCGTAAAGAAGTTCATGCATATATATTAAACACGAGAATTAAGTTCGGTATATAATTGGAAATTTTAATTGGAATTATTTCAGCTACATTGTGATAACATTTAAATTAAAATATTTATAACGACACATAATTTTTTAATTTTTTCTTATACTCTAAGATTTTCATAATAAATTTTACTCAATTCTAATCTTTTTGTGTGAAAATAATTCCAAAGGAGCTAAATTTTCAACATGACTGACAGCTGTTGCTGTGTATTATCGATAATACTTGAAAGTCTTTTATAACTCAATTATTTGTTGTTTCAATCGGCGAAAAACCAAGGTCAAAATTGTCAAAAAGGTTCTCTCTAATTTTTCCTATGATACTGCCAATTTCTAATATTTTCTATTGTAATGATTTTCGTTAAATAAGCCTCGACGACTTCCCAAATCCTTCGCGTTCAGTGATGTTGTTAAATGATAATCACAAAATTTACTTTTCGTCTTCCTTATTGTAAATTGTTATACGTGTTTGCATTATCGCCACAGTATTTCGTTAAAACAGTTTTTTTAGGCAACTTAAAAATGCAAATATAAAAAAAAATAACTAAAACTTTTGTAAATATTTTATAGAAAACATAAATTTTTATTTTTACCTATTTTATTTCCATTTGTCCAATAAAAATAAAAAAATAATATGACAAAAATCTGTGTCCTAATTGTAATTGTGGAGTTTCTTTTTTGACTAGCGGAGCTTCTTCTATATGAGCATGCGGTTAGCTTTATAACGAACAATAAAAGTTGAAATCAAAATGTTTTACATTAATTATTCATAATTAACGTTTGTACAGAACTTATTGAAATAATGCAAATCATTTGTTTCGCAGTCAGTCATTGCCTTCAATCAGCAATCGAGATAATATCGATATTTCGCACACTCAAATGTCTCTTACATCCCTACACCAAGTCTCAGCTGCTGTTTACAAAAGTTTGAATTTATTTCGTACATTTAACGCCATTGGCCACCTGCGACTTGGATGTTGGGAAAACCGAGTGAAAATGTAAGAACAAATATTTGAATGTGTGAAGCCCAACTGATGCAAGGTGGGGAGCCACTTGGAGTAAACTGAAAATACAACACAACGAAAATACGAAAGCGCTGGCAGTAGACGTAGTGGCAGTAGACGTAAGTACGCCTTATTATTTCCGTTTCCTACTTCACTCAAAGCGGGTTGAGCTTACGATTTTCCCAATGCGCTAGTACACACAGCCACACTTACACACACATAAATATGTATGCGTGCGACGGCTTAACTATTTATGAGGCGCTGTTAAGGTGAATGAATAGTGAAAATTATGCCTCAAAATCCATTGAAAATAATATTGTAACCAATAATATTTAAATTTTACTTATTCTACTCATGGGTTATGAAAACATTCCATTAAACATGCGTATAAATATAACCAGGGTCATAGCAACCTTAATTATTTGTCCGCACTGCATGAAGTATTTTAAATACCCTTACATTTTATTTATGTACAATACGTTGTCCTGGTATTTTTCATATTATTTTTCCATTTGTATACATTTTAAAGTGAAAATTTTTTGGGTAATACAAAATAATCGATTAAAGTGTAGACATTGCTCAGCAACTCGAATAAAGTATATAAAAATTATCAAACTCATTTCAAACTGAACGAAGCACAGTGAAAATAGAAATTTGTCAAAAAGTAATTTATTAAAAAGAATTTCACCGCAAAGCAAAAAAAATAAAAGTTTCAGTAAAATAAATTGTTTTAACTTTTTGGTAAACACTTTGTTTCGTACACAGCTCGTGTAATGGCGTATCATTTTAGTGCTAATCAGGTATTTTCGGTAAAATGCTAACAAAAACAAAAAGTCTTAACTAGCAAAACTAGTAAATAGTATGAGTGTGGCGCAAAAAGTTCTGCCATATTTTGTTGGAGCTACGTACATCAGTATATGCATACATACAAACATGTTTAAGTAATATTAAGTACGTAAATGGTGGGTTGGCAACGAATTTTTCGCAAATGTTTTAATTTCTTCGAATTCCAAACAGCGATATTAATTTTTTCAAAAATACATTTAAATATATGTACATATTTAGATATGTATATATTTTTATGTAATTATTTTAATTTCGCTTTTGTTTGTTTGTCAAGGTCAAACAAACTGTACGTCGAGTCAGTATTCCTGACAATTAGCAAACCTATTTCTATTCATAATTTGTAGGAAAGACATTTTTAGCTAAAGACTACCTATCGGTTAGCATATTTACAAATGTTAATTTAATGTACGGTATGTTGATAATACGGCAGGGTATGTCAAGCTCTCCGAGTGTATTTCTGACATGACATAAAAGCTCAGAGTCGGCTTATTATAAACTGGAGGTTCCTCTATCTGTTGGAAAACAACAAGACGCATACCACAGACGCGCCACTTATATTTGTTATAAATGTTAATAATTTGTCGACAAAAGTATGCTAACAGACAGTTCTATAAATAGCAGTAATAAAGAGGAAACAGGGTAGGCCTTTATTGGTTTTATAATTTTTATTTATTTTAATTTATGTAAACTTATTTATATATTCTGTTTAACTTGATTTAAGTTTATACATTTTTTTTTTTATTTTTTTTTGTGTTTATTTTCGTTATTTATTTATTTATTTTTTTATTTTATGTTATTTCATTTTATTGATTCTTTATTTTACTTGATTTTATTTCACTTACATTAATTTTATTTATTTTTTCTGTTATGTTACATTGCTTGATTCCATTTTATTGTTCATCTTTTCTTCCATTTTTTAGGGTTTGCTTTCTTTTATTTATTTTACATTTTATTTTTAGTTAATAAATTTTTTTAATGTAGTTTTGTTTTAAATTGTTTCATTTTATTTTTTCATTCTTATTACTTTTTTATTCAGCTTTGTTCTTTTTCTCCTTAATTTAATTTAATTTCGTTTCTTATGTTATTTCACTTTTTTAGCTTTTTTATTTCATTTTTTATTTATTTTTATTTTTTCTTTTATTAGTTTATTTCTTTTTATTTCATTTTACTTTCCAATTTTTTTGTTTTTTTATTACTTTTATTTTTTTCATTTCATTTAATTTAATTTTCATTTGGTTTAATTTTTTTAATTTGTTTCGTTTTATTGTATTGATTTTATTTTAACTTGTTTTATTTTATTTTACTTTATATGATTATATTGAATATATTTTGTTTTATTATTTTTTATTATATTATTTTATTCTATTTCCTAATATTTTATTTTATTTTTTTATTTTCTTTTATTTATTCTATTATCTTCAATTTTCATTTATTTTATTAATTTCATTTTATTTATTTTGCCTTAACTTTATTTTATTTCATCATTCGATCTCTTCACCTATTTTAATCGTATTATATTTTATTATTTATTTAATATTATTTGTTTTATTCTATTTTATTTTACTTTTTTTATTTTTGTACTTGTTTACTTCAATTTATATATATATTATTTTTTATTATTTTTTTAATACATTTCTTAATTTTACTTTGTTCTATTTTATTTGATTATATATTATATTTTTATGTCTTTTTAATTAATTTGGCTCATTTCATTATATTTTATTTTATTTTCTGTTAATTTTTTATTTTCTTTTACTTAATTTTGTTATATATTTTTTTTAAATTTATTATTTTTTATTATTGCATTTTTTAAATATACAATATATTCTTTATTTTATTGACTTTATCATTCTATCTCTTATTATTATTTTTTTAATTTATTAATTTAATTTTTTTGTCTTATTTAGTTTAACTTATTATATTTTAAGTTGTGATATTTTATTGTTTTCATTTTATTATTATTTTTTATACTATTTTACTCTATGTTATTATTTTACCTTTTCTTTTATTATATTTTGATATTTTTTTTTATTTTATTTTACTTTTTCTTTTATTTATTTTTTATTATTCACTTTAACATTAATTTATAATTGTAATTTTATTTTATTAATTTTTCAAAAATATTTAACGATCCTTGTTTCATGATAACAGTAGTAGCGGTTTTTTGCTGCAACAAAAAAAAAAAAAAACAAATTATATTTGTACATAGTAACGAATTTGCTTAACAACGCTTAGGCTTTAATATATAAATATTTATAAATACATAAATGAAATACTTATGTATAAATATTTACACACACAAACATACGTGCATAAATATTTTTGCAAACTTATTGTGCACATCAAATACTTTGAGTTTAATGACTCCCTTTTTCACATTGGAACTAACTGCAGAAAGTGAAAAAATTCAGTACGAATTAAAACGTTTGCGGGATAACGGCTCATATCAATGCCTTTACTACGAAAGTTATAGTGATGTGTGTCCGATATTGATATCAGTAGTGGTGGCAATTAATTGATTGAACATTATACTAATTTACTTACAATTGATTGGACATCTGCTTTATTTTACTGTTCAATCATTTTCTCAGTAATATAAGTGTAGGTATCTACTTTTAATACTCATTTGAAGGTATACGAAAACAAAAAAAAAATGTTAAAAAAGCGAAAAACAAACTAAAAAGTCATTTGATAGTGCAGATTGGCGTGTAATTTAGGCAAGTGGGCAGTGAACTTGTAAAAAATGTAGTGCTTTATAGTTCTTCTTAATTTTTTTTTGCACAGCAATCCGTTGTTACACGTGCAGTCGCCCTTCTCTTCACCTTCAAACGCTTGTTAGCCTTTTATTCTTTTTTTAATTCTTGTTTGGGGTGTAATAATGCTGTCAAGGGGTGTGACACCCTTCTGTATTTGGTCATTGTTGCAACTTCCAGACAATACAAACATACAGATGTACATATAGCGTATAGCGTGTAGCTTCTTGACTACATAATCCACGCATAAAACGTGATAAATGACACCCTCGGGTATGCGTATAAAAATCATCTGTACGGGCTTGAGCTAAATTTATGTATGTACAGTGGATTGAAATGATGAAAAGGATAATAATAATAAGTAAAATGTGCTTATGCTATATAATATGTGTTTCTATATTATATAGCGCAATTGTTTATTATACATGTTTATTCTGAGAGCTCCCAATCTAGCTAAAGGAGATACCTTAAAAGTTTATTCCACTTCTAAATTTTATCATATGCTTGCCTACATTTCTCTTCACCGTTCAAGGTGTTTATTAATTAATTTTTTTTTTTTAATTCATTATGCATATTTGATACTTTTAAAATATGCAGAATACACCTCATGCTTTCTTTTCTCCACGCTTATTCGGAGAGCTTGAAGTTCAAAGAGAAAACTTTATTCCACTTCTGATTTTTTTTCTGCTGTTTACCTATACTTTTTCCCACTGTGCATAATCTATTTGTATTTCACGTACAACAAACGTACTGTTGCTATAGCTTTCTCACTGCTGTGCAAAATATTTTGGCGTCAGAGCGGAAATTCTTTTCGTTGAATTTGCTAATTGAGTTTAAAATCAATTTGTATTTACCACTTGAACCAATAATACTTCAATTTTAATAGTTATACTAGAAGTGGCGAAATCTTCTCCGTGCAACAACAATATCGCTTTCAAAAATTTTACGCAGATTATAGCATCAAACTCTCCCAACCACCATACGTGAATTGCATTACCACTATTTCTTTTTGTTGTTGCCTAAGTCGATGTAATTGCCGTGTAAATTTAATTACAATAACACAGTGTGAAGTGCATTCGTATTATCATCTTTACTTCCGTTTGCCTTTGGTGTAGTTTGTATTTTTTCCTTTACCTCTGCACGTGCCGTTGCTTGTGGTTTCATGGCATTTACCAACGCAGCGCGTGTTACACTGCTGCTCAATCATCGCTGGTGTTGACAAGTGCCGTTGGTTGCTTCCCCGACATACCGTCTATTCTCAGTGCGTATGTTTTCCAGTAATCCAGAGTAAGACATTGAAAATTTGTCAACTTGCTCGAATTTGCATATGTTAATTGAAAATATGCGTTGGTGCGTTTTAGCTGGGGATGGGTTGGATTGGTCGATTTTCTCACGGTCAGCACATAGTGGGCGGCATTAGATGATTGAAAAAGTTTATATACTCAATATGTTAGCCCCCAACAGGCTCGCGTTTAGTTCGGATTGTTCTTCTATTGCGTAAAATTTATGAAAATTACATTGATTCTGAAAAGTTGTATATGGAGTGGACTGAAAACTTGGACCCCTCTGAAATAAGTTATCCATTATTTTTGCAATAAAAGCGATTGGATTATGCTAAATGGCGTCACAAAGACTGTATTTTGGACTAAAAAAGATAATGGGAGACGTGTTGATCACTTTACTCAGTAGTGTCTGCGCGCATGTCAAAGAAGGACACCTGCAGAAGGGAATATACGCAAGTCAGCCAGCTGAAAATGCGAAAAGAAGCTTCATGAGTGAGCGCCACATGTATTTACGAGATAAAACCGCATGGACCGAGTTTCATATCGCGTATCGCTGCTGAATCTTAATAAAATCGACCCATTTCTGTTGATGAAAAGTCCGTCGGCGCAAGCGTCCTCCAAGCTGGCAAGGAATCATCTGCTATGAACTGCTCCCCTACTGTTAGGCTCTTAGTTCAGACCTTTTTTGTCCGCAATTGGACCGTCTAAAGGAAGCAATCGTACAGAAGCGTCCAGCTTTGACCAAAAGCTCCGAGAGATTCTTATGCATCCACCTTATAGTACGGACTGCGCACCAAGTGTTTACCATATGTTCCTGGCTGATGAGGAATTGGCCTCAAGAGAAGCATTGGTAAATCCAATATGCAAATCTTTAAGCAAGCGGGACAAGGGCATAGTGGCATTACCTGGAAAATTGCAAAAAATTATCACACAAAACGGTGCTTACTTTAGATAAATCGGTTGATTTTAAAGATAGAATATAGCTCAATATAGAAGAGTTACGTTTAATTACGCTGCCTGACTAAATAGAGCAATTGGTCCTTTGTAGTACCAAGTAAAGGTTCAAATTTAATTTTCTAAAAGCGGCTGAGTGTTTCTGTCTCGCTCGGATTTAATTTTATTTTAATAGTCATGCGTCCTCGCCAATTTCGTGTTTTGGTATAAACAGATACACTCGCCAGACGAATGACAAGCACTAGATATGCAATTTCTTCACGACAGTCACCATATACAGTGCTTCCTTACTTTTGCTTCCAGCAGTGTTGGTTAGCTTAAACCTCTCTTTCTGCCCGAAAATGCATCCACCTATAAAAACAAAAACTTCAGTAACCTGTTAGGCACAAAGGTTGCCTAAAGCTCAACTGTGCATAATCGGTTTCAACACCCATTTACTCAACCATTTTTGATTTTCCCTTCCGTGTGTTCGATGGATCTGTGCTATCTACTCACTTTCAAAATATTCTGATACTAAAAGCTATCAAGAAAATAACATGTATGCGTGCAGTCTTTACTGTTTACCCTTCTCTTGTTAATAAAGCTACGTCCGAAGTTTCTGGTGGAGCATGCACCTAAATATGACAGTATAACAGTGCAGCTGTTGAAGTAATCTTTAACACTTTTTGCAGCTACCCTCCCGTATAACTTTGAATATGAGTCTTTTTTCAGCCACGATCCACTTTGCCAAAGCATCGGGAGAAGTACGATTGTTTGACGAACACCTCGTAGCAGCAGCGCCACACGCTGGTCAAGCCGATGTTGGTAACACTGATCAATCAACTTATCTTTACTACGGTTTCTTCCCTGAAGTCTCGGAAAGTTGCCGCCTCTAAATACTTTAGCTCATTACTTCAAAGTGAGTAAGGATTTCGGTTAAAGCTTCCTGTACTTCTTCTTAAACACAACACCTGCACGTTTGCTGGTACGCTCCGTCCTAAAAGAACTGTAATATTCATGGGCTTCTCAATTTTCAGTAAATTTCGAAATAATCAACGTACTACGAAACCTTTAAAAAAGACAAATCTAACTAAGTTTACGCATTGCAATATTTCTAAAGTCCAGCCATCAAAATATCAAAATTTGCAGTTGGATTTAGTGATGATAAATGATGCTTCCGATTAATTGTAGACTTTGCCGCTTGCACTTGCTGAACCAAAAAAAAAAAAATCAAAACGTTCACAAATGTTAATAGTAAATACTACTGGTGTTTTTTAGAAACGTAAACAAGGATTATAACGGTATTAGGAATATTCTCTGTAATCGGTGCATACATATGTCACTTAAAAAATTACACAAATAACACCATGTAATTGTTGCTTAAGCGAAATCAGGGATGATACTATTTCCTACATTGCACCCTGCACTGCGGGCAACGGGAAATATTCAACTGGTACAGCAAGTGTATGGCAGTGGCATAGGGTGTTTACGATGTATCTGTTTGTATTGAATGACTTTTTTACTAATAAATAGTTTTTTTTCTGTTTTAGTGGGTACAGGGGTTGTATATGTTGGTTTTTCAAAAAAAAACGAAACGCCTCCTGATGGAGTCATGTACGTATGACTGTATGATTGTCAATATTTACCGTTTGTATACATTGGTACTTAAAGGATTAAAATGATATAAATTAGCGCATATAAGTTACATTATAAAATGTTGTGCGTCAGCTGAAACAGGTTGTGTTGGATTTGTATCAAATATGTCACAAAATATGAATGACGGGGAAACTGAGACTTCATAGAGCAATGGTGTAGTAACACTAAATTTTTTATTTTTCCACATTTTTAGTTCGAGAAGCCTTATAACGCAAAACGTTTATGTAATTGGGAGTTACCAAAGTGGTATCCACCGCGGCCACGTAGTCACAAGAAGCCGACGAAAGTAGTTGCCAACAACAACGGACATTTGTTGTGCAGCGTTGAACGGTGAGTAGCACATACGGTAAAAAGAGGCTGCGGATGAACAGTTCTCAGTATTCAAATTTCTTTATACGCCATCAGCCAAGCTGTGCTAACAAAAGTCATAGCAAGTAGCCCAAATCAAAATTCAGTCAAATCTTTTATAAATTTATAAGCTCCTAAAACTTGTAACTAAAAGCTAATCTCGTTGATCTCTCTCTCTTGATGTGTCGCTTAATTGAACGCATCGCCAGCTTTGGCCGAGTGGTAGGCAGTGGTTTGAACAAGTCCGAAGTGGTATATTCAAGTCGCCGACTAGAAAAAATTCTAAAAAAAAAAAAATATTCTAACTGCAGTCATACCTCGGTGCGGAATATCAATGCCTCCGTGTGTGTTCCTGTTATGAAATAAACGCTTTACAGAAAAACCTTTTAGTTGTCTTGACGTTGTTTAAGATTGCCTCTTTTTGGAAAAGAAACATTAAGGCATCAACGTCAAATTAGCGGAGAAAGAACTCGACTAAAAGTTCTCTTATTGAGCCTATGAAGTTTTCCAATAAATAATAACTATACTGCTACACAAGGTCCCCAATTATGGATCTGGGTAAGACCTTAGATTTACTATCTCAAGCATCCAGATTTATGGCACTCACAGAGTTACTTCCTCAGCATTCTCTAGCTAGTAAATGCGGTAACTTTCGTACCAAGTTTTTGGAAATGACTTATCAAAGTTGAGTTTTCGTCAAGGCTTTTGGTCTGTCAGTAATATATATGTATACGCCATGGTATTTGCTTGGGTTACCTTTATTAGACTAAATAAAATGCAGGTTTGCGCCAACATTTTGTGTCACTTGCTTTTTTTTCTAAATTCGGCTGTGTGGCCAAGCGCACAATTATGCTGCGGGAGTGGATTCATAGTGAACCCGATCACTGCCACATCTTTGGTAAGCCGATACTGCGATTAGAACTTAGCGAACCCTCAAGTTGAGTATCTCATAGTGGCTCCAATGAAAACTCCTCCTTTTAATCGTTACACAAGGCTCCATATGTGTTGGCTGCCATATCTTCTGGAAGAGTTGCTCACGTTTCCATGATGTGAGACGTGGACGACGCTAAAGTACAGATTGAACACAATTATGCGACTATAACTGTATACTCGGTAGAAAAACTCGACCCATTCGCCTTCTTATGCGATTACAGTCATTTCTTTTCTTATCCTTTCAGTGCCAATTACAAATAGCCATTCAAGCCAGGAACTTTTTTACCTTACTTTTCCAAAAGAGTGAAAGTCTTCCTCCTCCTCTACTTCTGTCCTATGCCGCATTCAATGTCTTCCATACACAGAGGACTATTAATGTAATCGTCTAAAAGCCTTTCTCTCGAAGAGTCCAAAAGTAGACTTATCGGATGTTGTCAACATGGACTCTTCGGCATCATAAGGTATAACGGAAATGATGTGGTTATTGTGCAATTTATTTATCAACCGATACGAGTTGAGCGGAAGGAGATTAACCGTTGGGCATATTACTATTGTTATATAATAGAAGACCTTAAATAATATTCACCTCATTTGTTAGAGAATATCATAAGAATAGTTGCGTTCTGTCAACTCCACCTGCATCGGTCACCTGTCAACTCCACCTGCTTGGGAGTGAACTAAGCTTAGCTCAATCATTTTTCAAATCACTCTATGGCCTTGGAAACCCTTAGACAGAAGTAATTTTTCGGTGTTTATTTTCAGTACGGACAAGAATCCTTGGGGCTACTTCCGCAGCACGTATGAGCTACCACGTAAAATAACACGCAAATTTGCCGATGAATACAATGAATGTCTGATTCGAAAACATAAATGGCGTAATTTTCCGCATAAGAAGACGGTGTGTGGCAAAAAGGATGAACCACCCAAATGTGATGACAAATGTGAGACCATTAGACGAATCTTCACACCAGGTGAGAAAGGCATTGGCAAGTGCGCTAAGGGTCAAGAGAAAAAGGTGAATATGGCGTAATTTCCAAGAGTCGTTTTTTATTTTATTTTTTAAACATTTATTTTCGTTTTAACTCATCATAATTTGATTTAAAGAAAACTAAGAAGAAACCGAACAAGGAGAATAAAGCCGAAGAAACTTGCGAAATCATACAAACTCCACCAGCATGCTAAGCACATTCCCATTTTGAAATCATTTCATTTTTATTTTTTAATTTGTAGCCACTCAAATAATATATAACGGAAATCGGAAAAAAAGCTTGATTTGCCTCTTCTTTTTCAAGTATTTTGATTTAGAGTACGTGCCGGGTGATTTCACACCCTACGTGGATCAGCATTCCTCACGAGCCCAATTACTGCAACAGAAATACGAACGCGACAATAAAATCGAGCCTGAACTGCCTTTGGACAAGCTCTACTTGGGCGATCACCTCTGCAAGTCGACAAAGCCGGACGTTACACTAACACGTCCAGTACTGCTGCCCTTATCACGCGTTTCTTCACCACCGCCTGAGGTGGCTGACGTAATACAAAAAGACGACCAAATGCCACAAGTTCAGACAGAAACATCCTTGCTACCGCAAACAGCTGCTCTGACAGATTCTGTCGGGCCCAGTTTGGAATATTTTAAGCAGAAATTCGGCTATCAGAATCCTGACTCACCTGCCGGTCCGAATTTTGAGACAAAAATGCCACTTAAGTCAATTACCGCTAAACCAAACGAACGTTCACCGTCGCCCATTATACCGCCTTATGCCAATTTTGAGTTGGCCAAACGCATGCATCATGACAATTTGGATCATCAACCGCTGCCAGATTGTGTATTGGACATGGCATTCCGCAAGCGTCAAATAACGGGTGATAATCCAGGCTTAGCGCTCGATATTGCGCCCTTTGCAACCGGTGTTGGCATACGTACACACAATGCCGGGCCCACACATTGCACGAAAATGAAGGTTTTTCGACCGCGCACATGTGGCGTCGTGCCCAAAGCTTATAATGGCGATTTGTCCCGCGGAATTTCCTCAGCACAACCACAAAAACCAATGACCGCTATGGATTTGGCCATCGGTTGGGATTATCGTACTGCCAATCCAGCTGACGAGCCACAGCCGCCGCCGCATATAGACGGTTCAGACGACACCGCCGGTCCAGCCGTGTTTAATTACGTAAAAACGCCACGTGATGAACCTACTACAGATCTGGGTCGCTCGGCAGGCGTTTTCAATAGCACACTCGGTGAAACAGGTTTCTTTGATAAGGATATCATGCGCCGTAAATCGGATTTCGGTGGTCGCGCTATTGAGCGCGATATCGACTGTCTTTGTGATGCAGACAATAGCGCAGCGCGCGCACCAACACGCGCTCGTAGTGTAACGCGCAACTACGCAATGCCCACAAATCGATTAAGCAAGCAATATCAGTCTTCACCTAACATGCTAGCTGATGAAGGCTACCGTGCACTACGTCAAAAATATCTGGGTGGTAGTGGCAATATTGCAGCTTCTTGTGAGGATCTTATAACAGAACGCGGCTGTAGGCGCTCGAAACAAGTTGGCGGTGCGGCTGGCTTTCTTAGTCGCGCGCGTTCAAGACTATGTCACAAAGTCGCACCCGAGCCGCCGCATTGCTATCATGCAGCACCACCGCATACAGTTTGTAAAGCACCATTTCGCGTTGGCGTGCCGAAATACAATGCAGCCGGTCATTTCGTAAGTACGGATAGCGGCTGTGGTATGGAACCGCACACTGCCAGTCGGGTTTTGGTGGTGCCGCGACAACGTGATCCTTATGCAAAGCGCAATTATGATATTGACACGTTGGTGCCACCTTTTCGCAGTTTTGGCGGCGGTGCTGGTGAGGGCGGCTATCCAGAGCACTGGCGGTTGGCTAGCGTTTATCAACACGCTTATAAACCGATTGAGTTACGACGGAGGCCGCTCCTACAGACAGTTTACAAATAAGATTTTTTTCGCAATTATTAAAATAAAAGTGCAAAATGTTAAAAGCTTTGTTTTCAACTACGGAATAAGTGAAACCTGCGACAAACTCAGTGTTTTGGGAGAGTATTTATCAAAGGTTCAAGCATGAGCCTTCTTCGAGTGAATCGAGACGTGGTCAAGAGAGCGAGATAGGCAAGGATAGAGAGAGCGAGGTAATGATAGAGAGAGGAGGAATAGGGAGGGATAGAGAGAGAAAGGGAGGTATAGATAGAGAGAGATGGGGGTATAGACAGAGAGAAAGGGAGTGGTAGAGAGAGAGAGAGAGGAAGAGATAGAGGAGGAATAGGAAGAGAGAAAGGGGGGGAGAAGGAGAAATAGAGAGAGAGAGAGAGAGAAGGAGGAATAGGGAGAGAGATAGAAGGAGGAATAGGGCGAGAGAGAGAAGGAGGAATAGGGAGAGGGAGAGAAGGAGGAATAGGGAGAGAGACAGAAGGGACAGAGAGAGAGGGAAGAAGGGACAGAGAGAGAGAGTAGGGACATAGAGAGAGAGAGAAGAAGGGACAGAGAGAGAAGAAGGGATAGAGAGAGAGAAGAAGGGATAGAGAGAGAGAAGGGATAGAGAGAGAGAAGAAGGAACAGAGAGAGAGAAGGGACAGAGAGAGAAGAAGGGACAGAGAGAGAGAGAGATATTGAGAGGTATTGAGAGAGAGTGGGAGGGATAGAGAGAGAGAAAGAGAGGGAGGGATAGAGGGAGAGAGAGGGAGAGAGAGGGAGGGATAGAGGGAGAGAGAGGGAGGGATAGAGGGAGAGAGAGGGAGGGATAGAGAGAGAAAAATATTTCCAGCTGGATGAAGTACAGAACAAAGCTAACTTAATTTTTTATTCAAATTTCTTTTATTGATCTCTCCAATTCTCTTGCGCATCCTTACCACCCTGACCACTAATCTGCATATTGCCAACCTCCAAATGTTTCCGCTGTATTTCCTCATAGGTATTAAAAAAGTGTTGCTTCTCCTGCACTACTTTTGTGAGCAACTCAAACCATATCGCTTCTGTTAATTCGCTAGCGCCTGCATACATATCATTACGTGGTGTCATGAAGACAAGCGAACGAAAGTCGGCAATAATTTCATCCAGGGGTTTGTGGAATGTGGAATTGTAATGTTCTGCAAGGACATCACAAGTTTAAAATAGGTATATAAAATCAATACTAATGCTTACCATCAACTTCCGGTATAAGAAACGCATTGACTTGTTTCTCTGCTTCCGCCGTACGAGTTTTCTTTTGCTTTTGCTCAGCCGTTTGCCCTACGTTAATACGCAATTGTGAATCTTTAAAGAGCGCACGTAACATGCGATTCATGCGTTCCTTCTGACTTGGCACAAAATCCTGTCGCTTTGCACGATTTTTTACAAAAAGCACATTCGGATAGTAGTCACTAACGAATGGCTTATTATCATGTGAGGGTTTCATAAGTTCAGCAAATTGCAGCAAACGTATAAAATTCATATTAAAATAATCATCTTGTACCACAATTAACAAATGGCAAACAGATAAAAAACTTATTAGTTGACGTAAATCATCCAACTCATTGGTTGTCATGTCCTTGCGATAAGAATTGCACATTACCGGCGGACTGTCAAGCAATATTAAGCGATCGCTGGTGATAAACATATGAGTAGATTCTGTACGTGAACGCGCATAGCACTTGTGTTGCTTTAATTTAGTCGGAAAGATACCACCTTCGTTTATAAATATTTCCTGTTGGTAATCACAATTCATATCATCATTGGCTAGAAGATTCATAATGGTTGATTTTCCTACTCCCTGGGTGCCAATTACACCAACTACCAGAAAATCGGTATTTCCTTTCATAAGCATTTTTCGTGTGGTAGCATTTATAACACCAGTTGACGATATAATTGTTGACGGTCGCGTCATTTGTGGCAAGGGTTCGACTATCTGTACATTTGCAGCTAAATTATTTGCTTCATTCGTAGACACATTCGGTTGTTGTGTCTGCTGCTGATGTTCTTTAACTGGGCTTACACCACTTAAACGTGGACTCTCTGACATTCCACTACGTGTCACGATAATGGTTTTCAATGGCGCGGAGCTTGCACCTGAAGACACTGAGGCCACCTCTGTATCATCTTTGCTCTCAGTGCGTGGTTTAAGCAAAATTTTTGGCTGTAATTCGACGTCAGAATTTCCGCGTCGTACAGAAGATGAAGGTTCTTCGTCTACATTGCGCTTGGCTAGTATTATGGGACGTTTATCTTCGGTTTGCTATACAAAAAAAAAAATACAAAAAAAGGAATATCATTTTTGTCACTTAATTTATCAAGTAAAATATACAAACTTTAGCTTTGCGATATCTTCTGCGTTTACCATCTGACATAGTGAAAAGACAATCTATATGCTTAGAATATTTATTTCAATATTTAAAATCTACTTCTAGCGTATTATTTGATGGGAAAACAAATAAGCAAACTGCTTGTGACCAGTGGGGTGAGTTAGAAAAACTTGAAAGGGTCCACCATATAAACAATTTCATTTGATATTGAAAAATGTTCTAAATTACTTTTTGCTAATATTAAGATCACTACGAATTTGTGAATTAATGTTTATTTATTTAATTTAACAAGAAACTTAAATCCTGTAAGCAAAGATAACGTTGTGGGCTTAAGCAATTCAGACTAATGGAAGCCTTCTCGTATGTGCGGCTCTGTTTTATTTATCAGCTGTTTGTTGTGACATTTGCATGTAAACAAAAGCAAATCTACCACGATTGGAAAACGTATTTGACGTCTCCTCCACATTTTTAGTGGAAGTTTAAAGTTGTTTACATATAATAAGTAATTTAGCTTTATATAAACAAAATAAACTTTATATTGTTGTAAATATGCCTATGATAATAATTTCCGGCTTACCAGCCAGTGGCAAAACCACGCGTGCGAAAAGTCTGCAAAAATTTTTCACTGATAAAGGGAAGAAGGTACACCTCATCTCGGAAAACATTTCCATACCCCATGCAGGTTTTGCGAAGAATGAATATTTTGAAGATTCACAAAAAGAGAAGCAAGTACGTAGTGACATCAAATCAGAAGCGTTACGGTTACTTAATAAAGAAGATGTAGTTATTGTAGACGCTGGCAATTACATTAAAGGTATTTATTGTATATAGTAATCCTTTAAAGTAAATTTATAAATCTTACATTTTGTATAGGCTATCGGTACGAATTGTTTTGTGCTACAAAAGCTGCGCGAAGTACACAGTGCACACTCTTTTGCGGTATACCAGAGTCACGCGCTTGGGAATTCAATCAACAGCGAACCAGTAAAGATGTAGTACCATGCAATGGCCTCGATAAAAATGTAGATAACTCAGACGTACCATACACGCGTGAAATATTTGATGCACTATGCATGCGCTTCGAAGAGCCACATGGTAATTGCCGTTGGGATAGTCCTCTATTTGTTATATTTCCTGATGATACACTTGATTTAGAAGCAATGTTTAGTGCATTATATGAATCTAAACCATTACCACCAAACCAGAGCACACAGAACGTAAGTGTTAACATTATTTAAAAAGCTTATGTGTTATTTGCGTATCTTCATCTCTTTAGCCACCATTAAGCTCCACAAATTACCTATTTGAATTGGATAAATTAACGCAGCAAATTATTGCTGATGTTTTAGCAGCGCGTAAAATAGGCAATACAGGTCCTGTGCCGGTAAAAGGAAGTCAAGTGAAAGTCGAAGTGCCAGCAGGCATAAATGCTATACAGCTGAATCGTTTACGTAGACAATTTCTCAATTATAGTAAGTTACATCATGCGACCACAAGTACTTTAGATAAAGTGCCACAATTATTTGTTCAATTTCTAAACTCGAATTGCAATGTATAGTAAGTTAAAAATAAATATAACTGAATATTCAATTAGAATATTTAGTTTGAAATAAACCATTTTAAATAAATAAATCAAAATTTTTTTGTGCTAAGTTTTTAACAATTGTTCAATTTATTTTTCTTTTTTTTTAACGTTATAACTATTTATTTTTCTTTTGTCTATCGTTGACGGTATATATATAAAAGTTTTGTGGTATTAATATAAATTTGTTACTAATTTATTACTATCATTGATGGATGCAAAAAAATAAGAAGCAAAAATAAAAAATTTCCATTTAACTTTATAAGGTACATACATATATGTAAAATGAAAGGAAAAATAAAACATTGGTCAATGCGTTTACAATAGAAAACATGTGGGTACGTCCTACCGGGTTTCCAGCGTATACCGCTTAATTCAAATAATATTCTTCATGTCGATAATACTTTACTTAAATAACTATACATACTTTCAGCTTTTTTTCGAGCATATATTTTTTGTAAAGAAACTTAAAAAAACACATTTCATGTGCACTAATTGAAATTCAATTATCTTCACACAACATACATATGTATGTATATGTGAGTCATCTCATAGCCATTCTATATTCATACTTATTCGCTTTTATATGCATGTTATGAAATGAAAAAAACATCGTTCAACGTTTGTAGGTATGCTGGTATTAAAAAAAAAAACTATAATTGTTATACTATACTAATTGCTAAAGAAGTGTACTTTCACTCTGTTTATTTGTCGTCTCTCAACTCAATTCGAATCTCCTGATGTTGTCATTACTATTGATGCTGGTAGGCATTTCTATAACCGTTGCTATAGCAATCTGCATATCGACTACTGCTGGCGCTGCCGTTGTTGCTGCCGCCACCGACTAACTCATCCGCATCATCATCAAATTGATCTGTAGGATCAGTTGCATTTTGCGACTTTCGGCAAATCCAAAACAGGCTTTCATATTCACTCTTCAACATTGACTGTGGGTTTTGTGCATATTTAGTGCGTACACCGGTTTCGCAACGCAGAAATTCAAAACCAGCCATTTTGATGATTAATTCCAAATTTTCGAACGTTGGTTCAATACTATTCTCACCCTGTATATCGCTAAAGTGATAGAGCAGTGGACCTAAGTTAACCCAAATACCACCGGGTTTTAGTATTCTAAAAAATAATATTGAAATTAATGTAATATGCATGAAATCTAATATAAAAAAATTCGTTTCTAATAAAATAAATTAACATACTGTGTTTACATATGTATGTACGTATGTAGGTGTAAACACATCACATACATTTATAAATGTATGTATGTTTATAAAGCGCTTGATAGGGCAAAACTAACAAGCAAAATATGCGTACCTAAAAATAGTTTCAATAAAATCCACAATATTATTGGCGCAGTCAATAAAGAAACAAGTGGCGACACAATCATAGCTGTTGGGCGTTTTGTAGACCTGCAAGATAAACAAAAATGTGTAGAGTGATTTACGCATACATATAGATTACGTATACAGTAAAGTATCTCAACACGCATGAAACACACGAAACATAAATGGATAAAAAATACATTGTGTTATGTACATACATTTTTTTTTTTAAATAGGGAATTAAGCATAGTGCTCCGTTGAAGCACTATATAAAAAGAAAATTCTTAAAACTTATAAATAAATTGTTTAAAATTTACAATTTGTTCTAGTCTGGAAATTATTTATTTTAAAGACTAAATAATGTTCATATGTACCTCCAAGAAATCACCCGCTGCCATCATTATATTTCCTTTAGGTGGATTCGCCGCTGGCGAAACATCGGGAAAGCGTACAGGCGCCACCTGATCAGCCATACGTAAGTTATTTACATACTGATGTACCCAGGGATAAAGCGTATATTTATTTACCTCCGTACAGCTGATACAAAAAAAAAGAAGTTAGCAATATGTATAGTTAAAAAAAATATATGTGTATATTTATGTACGTAAAAACTTACAGATTTAACACAAAATACGAGGCGATTAACATAAAATAGGAGTATTCATTGCCCTCACAATCATAACCACGGCAGGCTAATTCATAGGTTAAACGACCGAGTCCAGCGCCTGGCACAAGAATCTTGACTTCATTAAGTGCGCTGATAATTAGAGATTAATAATTAATAAGCTATGTACATATGTATTGTTTTTTTTTTATGCTATTGACTCACAATTCGCCAGGCTTGAAGAACTCTTCAACTGCTTCGATAATCGGCTTGTACGATTGTTCACGTTCCTCTGCACAGGCATCACTCCAGTCGCGGGCGATTAACTTTAATGTCGATTGGGCCTTTAAAATTTCAAAAGGTTCAACATCAGCTTGCTGTAAGAATTTGTTTCGGTGTACATATATTTGATGTTATGTGCAATTTTTAAATTGCAAGTTTATTTTTTATTTAGGCTCTTAAACATTTAAAATTTATGCCCAATTCAAATCTTTCACCAATTTTAAGTCGTCAAATTTTTCAAATTACCATTTTTATTATGTAAATATATATAAAATTATTTACTGAATTATCTTACATGCTCCATATCTTGATGTCTTATTTTTGCAATATGCCCATCTATATCCTTCTGTGCTACATGCACCTGTTCACAGGATCCGACCATATCAATTAACCCGGCATTGTCACGTAGCATTTTTCTAATGACCTTCTGATTTTCGTCAATACAATCTCTTACTACACGCAAATGATTTCTGTATTTGACCAACATGCCTTGATGGTGTAGAGGAAGACTGTTGAGGTAGCTTTCAGTCTTATTGACGCGTGAATAGCAGTATTTTCTAAAAACAGGAAACAATTTTAAATTTGAATTAAACAAAAAGTATATATATAGAAATTATAAAGAGCTTGCACTTGGTGCACTAGTGCAGCTATGATGTCACATAAATCAAGGGACATAATTTCATAAGCATTAGGCTTATCTACATCAATATTATTGATATTCGCAAGGTTAGTCACTATAATAATTGATTATACATATACATATACAAAAACACATGCACATACGTTTTTCTATCCTGTTGCTCATACAACTGCCTGCAATGTTATTAATGGATGTATGGATAGCATAGCAACATTATAACAGCTGCGTTTTCTTTGTTTTGTTCTTTTTTTTTTGCCCCAACGCTCTTATCGCTTCATGTGTGTATTACGATTCTAGTTGTCGGTATTTCATGAAATGTAATAAAGGAAAGGACGTCGCTACAATCCAACATGCGAGTAGCGGGATTTATGAATATATATTTATATATAACCTCAAATTTAATATACATATAAAACTTTAAATTGAAATAATCGTAATTGTCACACACCGCTAATAAATAGTTTCATTGAAGAGAATTGTAAATTGCTTCCGCAATGTGTTTTTACTCACTGATAATAACGTAAAGCTGCTATGATCTTCTGCATATTCTTTCTTTCTTCCTCCGCCTCTTCAGGGTTGAGCATTGGCTGATTCGCTTCAGCATTGCTGTCAATTGTATTTACCGAAGAAGAGTGTTTCCGTGAACCTGATGGCTGCTGTGAATCACTCATGTTGGAGCACGTTGCTTTTATCGCGCTATACTTCAAACAATACGTGTACGCACAAGAAAAAAACTGTTGTTTTATACAATTTGTAGCACCCACATATGCTACTACGGAAGAACACCAAAACTTGCAGAAAACAATATACAGTCAGTTGTCCTTTATGATTGCGCAATACAGAAAATGCAATTAAATATAAATGTCTAATTATTGTCTCATTATAAAATTAAAATCTATTTGAATTAAATCTAGTGCAGGATAACAAAATGCCGTTTAAGATTACACCACTAAACTAGCACCCGTAAATTTTCAACACTAATAAATTCCAATAAACGCTAAAGGCAGGTATGTTATCGCTGTATGACTTAAGGCAGTATCAGATAGAACTTGTGCTTCGTATTACTTTTTACTTTGACAGCAATACGGAAATAAATTAAAAATTTTTTATTAATATTAAATGATTTAAATAATTATCATAAATTTTTCAATTCACTTTTGGTCTGTCGAAAAAATGATAGATTTCGTGATGACTTTCCATTGGGCAAGAGAGATGGGCTTCACAGCCCACCCGACGAACTCACCCTTCTAGAAATATGAGTATAGAAAAGCCATCCTCGAGTCATATTGGGGGGTTATACTTTAAACTGCGATGGTCCCGAAATTCGCCCAATGTTGACCCGCTGAATTTTGGATATGCAGCTAATTTGAAAGAAGTTATATATAAAATTCAACGAAATATAATTGAATAATGATATTGATTTTTCATTTAGTAATTTTTATGAGTTAGATTTCAAATGTTTATTAAATTAAGGTGTATATTTCTTAGAACAAGACCAGATCATCTGTAGTTAAAAGTTTTAATATTTCGGTAGTAGTTTTAAGCTTTCAAAAGCCACTATCACATTTTGAATTTTAATTCAAGTGTCTAATATGAGAGTTCTTTGATTATATATTTTTATTTTATTGTATTTGTAAATTCTGTATATATATTCTTTGTAATTATTTTAAGTCACCCTGTGGTTGTCATAAATAAACAAATTATCGCCCAACACCTACCTGACCGGTAAATCAGCTGTATTAGCTCTAAAAATAGACAAGTGTTTTTGTTTGTATTTTGATCTAGAATTTTTTTTAATATTAAAAGAAAACATTATAAAAATAGCACAGGCTGGTGCGTCAGAAAAAGGTATATGCAATGCGGACGTGCCCACAAAAAATATGGAATGGACTAGTATTAATCGCACTGCTATTATTAAATTATTAGAAAATTGAAGGTGAGTTCGGTGAGTGGCGTCTTGGATAAAATTTTATGGTTTACATATACTGACAACAACTTTTCTTCGCACAACGGCACTAAACTCAAATTTCGAAAATAGCAGAATTGGTTGGCGCCAACCCCACTTACAAACATTATACGAGTCACTCGATATCACAGGTAAGTACAGACATGTATAAATACATGCATAGTAATTGAATTTATATACATACATACATAAAACAAATAAATAGTGAACTTTAAAATTTTCGTTTCGAAAATGTTTTCAGTCGTTCGAGGACTCGCTGACTGTTTAGAACGTTGAAAATCAATGCCAACTTTTTTGCGTACACAAGAGTTCGATCAGCTCTTAGCTGCCTTCAGCAGCGCAGCACTAACATCAGCAACTGCAACAAAAAACTCTACCAATACGCGTTGCACCAGCAAAAAGAGTGGCAAACAGGTGAATAGGAATATGAAATCTGCAGCAGCAAGAAATGGCACAAAAGCTATAAAACGTGGCGCACGCATACTTACCGAGAAGCCATTCGCCTTTGTGCTGCAGTCAAAATATCGTAAGGAACGTTGTGACAATTGCTTGAAAGCGTAAGTTTTGACGTGAAATGGACAGAGAGTAACAAGCGCTCATACCATAATAATTCTATGTATATGATATATTTATAGTTGTAAAGTGCTTAAATGCGCTAACTGCCAATATGTATACTACTGCAGTCGTGAGTGTCAAATGCAAAGCTGGGGTGTACACAAAATTGAATGTCCATTCCTAAAGCGCATTTACCCGCGCATTGTGCCCGATGCGGCACGTATGCTTTGTAAATTAATCATACTATTGGATAAAGGTGGCGATCTTGTACGTGGCTATTATACTGATACCTGTTCACGGCGCTTTCGTGATTTGATGTCACGTACGTATAGTTTTAACTAGGAATCTGAATTTTAATTATTTTTTCTGTTGTGCAGATTATGGTGAAATCAAAAATGATGTACGCAGATTGGAGCATTTAGAGTCCTTATATGCCGTACTGCAGGATATGATGGGTGAGAGTGTTATTGTGCCGAATCTGACGGAGTTGACCAGTATCTATGGCAGGGTATGAAAATAAATATTTAGCTTTGCAGTTCCCAATTAAGAAATTGATGTCGTCGGTTTCTATCTTCAACTACGTCACTAAAAATGCAGTAATATATGACGTACATACTATGTGTATACATATTTATATGCTTGTATATCAGTGCAAGTTAATGCCTCAACAAAGATTGAAATTTCTTGACTTTGTGCCAAGAAATTCAAAATATGAGGAGTCATGCACTTGTCAGCACAAAAAAAAAAGAGTGGTTAAAATTTTCCGACGGCACAATTGTGCTTCAAATTAATTTACGAAAATACATACATATGTTACTTAAAGAGACAAAACAAAACAGAATTCTATGTGCATACATATGTATGATGTATGTATGCACATACGCAATAGACATGCCGGCTGCAATGTTTAGCGCACGCCAAAGTGATGTACGCCGCGTGTGGGTCACGGATTTCATTGTTTCGTTAAAAACAAAAGTAAATAATTAAATACGAAGCGCACGGTGGTATGATTACGGTTTTGCTGCTTTAAAAGTTTTAATTGAATTGTTTTAAACCAATTTTTAGTTTATTTTATATGTAGTTTTGTATTATAAAATTCTTTTTTATTTATTTTTTATTTTTAAAAATATGATTATATTTTTTTCTGCAATTTTATATTTATTTATACATCTTTTTTTTACAGTTAATTACGAATGGCTTCAGCATACTCGATCCTGAAATGAATTCAATCGCGACGGCGATTTATTTGGGTGTTTCGGTGACCGATCATAGTTGCAAACCAAATGCCGTAGCCACCTTTGAGGGCACCACCTTGCATATACACGCAATTGAAGATATAGAGTGTCTGGATTGGTCCAAGGTATAGTACATATGCACATATGTATATAATATCGATATGTTGCTAATATTTATATACATACTATATGCTTACTACTGTTGCAGATATTTATTAGCTATATCGATTTACTTAACACACCTGCTCAACGGCGTGCTGAATTACAAGAAAATTATTATTTCCTCTGTATATGTACGAAATGCACTGATGTACAGGAGACACAAGAAATGTTGGCAGCAGTTTGTGCCAATAAAAATTGTAGAGAACTCGTTGACATAAATCTCAATAATTGCACGCGTTGTGGTGCTGGCGTGAGTCCAAAACAACGGAATGTTTATAATGAGGCGCTTGCAATGACAAAAACACACTTGGAAAATATGAAAGATGTCGCATGTAAGACGCTCTTCATTAACGCATAGGATTAATGAGTAAAAGCTTTTTTCTCCTTTCAGATCTTGATGTTTGCAAATTATGCCTTGCCAAGCAAAAGGGCGTTTTACATCCATTCAATGTTTGGCATTTAAAAACTTTAGATGCGGCATTTGAGGCCGCCATCGATGTGTCTAAATGGGCAGAGGCTTTGGAGTATGGCATAGAGTTAGTGCCCGGTTTTAGGTAGATAAGCAGGAACATGTGAAAAACTAGAAATAATTATGTATTTCGTTTTTTTAGAAAATACTATGGCGATTGGCATCCATTATTGGGTATGCTTTATTTGAAAATTGGCAAAATTCAATTATACAAAAGTGAATTAAAAGAGGCTATAAATAATTTAAGGGAAGCACAAAAAATACTCCAAATAACACATGGCCGCGATCACAGTCTGCTACGTGAGCAATTACAGCCAATGCTTGCACAAGCTCTAGCAGAAAATGCTGCATAAAATGTGTAAATATACATATATATTATACTGTATGTATTATATATTATTTTGTAGGGAAATTAGAAAAATACAATATTTTATTGGAAAAATAGCGCATGTGATTGATCTTTTTTTGCAGATCACCAATTTATACAATTTTAGTTAATGCCTTTGAACGTCGTTCTGTATTTTGGAATAGTGCACGTATGAGATGTTTAATTTCTTCGGCCTTATAATTAACGGTTAATATGCCGGCACCTTCACACCACTGCTCGGTGATTTCTTGCAATGAAGCGTTGAGAATAATTTTCAATTGTTCAAGTTTCATCCAAGATTTAATATGTATAACCTCATGTTGAGACTGAAAAAAAGTAAAAAAAAAATATATAAATATACATATACAAATAATAAGTAAAAACAACAACAAAATTATAAATAAAAAATATCAAATAAAAAATAAATATATACAAAATAATACATAAAAATATACAAATTAATAGATAAAAATATATAAAATATTAATAAAAATATGTAATATAATAAATAAAAATATACCAAATAAAAAATCAAAACATACAGAATATTATAAAAATTACAAAATATTAAATAAAATAATAAAAAAATATATAAAAATTTAAAAAAAATAAATAAAAATACACATAATAATATATAAAAATATACAAAATAATATATAATATAAAAAAATAAAAATTTAAAATATAAAAAATAATAAAAATAATATATATGAAATAAATAAAAATATACAAAATAATAAATTAAAATATAAAAAAATAAATTTTATTAATTTTACAAAATAGTAAATAAAATATATAAAATAATAAATAAATATAGAATAATTAAACAATTATTGCTTTAAAGGAGCTTTTTAAAAATTCGAAATATTATTGCTCTATACCTTATATAAAGTTGGAACCTTTTCCAATATGACACCAATTAATTCACTCAACTCCGTAGCAACTGTTGCCGAAATATCCTCCATTGCGAGTATACGCCTAATGATTTCATTGCAAAAATCATTTAAAATATCGCAAAATGTTTTATTGTACGTAGCATCAGGTAGCACATTTTGCCAAACATTTTTCAGCAAATCTAGTTGACGCAAACATTGGCGTAATAATTTTAAAGGCGCTGTGCCCACTGTATGCGCATCGGAAATGTCTGTTAAATAAAATCAATAATCAAATAGTTTATTAACAATATACAATAATACATAAAGAAATATTTTAAAGAAAATTTATATTACCAAAATCTTTCAGTATGTCCATTATAATTTTTTGTTGATAATTTATTTGTACATTCAAATATTTACTACCGGTCATATGCAATGTGTTTACTAACGCCGGATAGGTGGGTATATCTTTTTCAGAATTTGTTGTAACCCAATGCGCTAGGAATTGACAATTGTTAAAAAACAAAGCTGATTGCTGTGGTATACTCTCCAGCAGTTTTTCATGTATTTTCGGCACTTCGCTCACATATGAATTCAATATAATACCAATTACATTTAAAAAACTCTCATCCTTTGTCTCCAGTGATTGACGTAGTATACGTTCCATTAGTTTAATCAGTTCCTAAATAAAAATTAATAAATATATGAAATTTATCATGGGATGTTAGCATTTCAATTCCTTACCAAAGTACTTTTCGATACCATGCAACAGGGAAATAGGAATGGATTTGTGGATACTTCCTCTGGCGCATTCTTTTCGGCAATCAGCGTCATATCCTGTAAATCTTTACGCATTATATCAATTGCGCTTTCCAAAAGTTTATTACTAAATTGTTCACGAAAGTAGTCATCAAATTTTTCAGCGAAATCACTCAAGACACGATCGGTTTCTGCATTTATAAGAAAAACATCGGCTAGGAAATGTTCGAATTGGATGACATGTTCGGCAAGCATTGACTCTTCGTATTCACTCATATTTTTCGGTATAGCATGCATAAGGCATTCATTTACAAGTAAATTTAAAAGCTTATGCTTTATGTGATCGCCTATAATGGAGAATACTTGTTGTTCATTAGAAACGGAAACGTTTATATTTGCCAAACAATGTAGAATGAGTTTGATATTTTCAAGAACTTTTACATATGAAGGACGTAAACTTTTATTCATTTCCTTTAGTGAATAGGAAATAGTAAGTTGCACGTAATCGGGATGTTCCTCATTGCATTCTAGCGAAACGGGTTTTACTATAATTGGTTCAAAACATTTTTCCATCAGAAAATCGCACATTTTAACAGGATTATAACGAGCCTGCAAAAATAAGTTAGGAAACTATTTAATTTGATAATTTGTATGTACGTTGCTGCATCTGTACTAACTTGAAATAACGCCATTACAATATCTTGCACTTGATTTACGTCTTTCGATACTTGTAGCGTAATACATTTTGCATTTGAGTATGGTTTTTCGGTGAACTCGACAAGTTCTTCGAATCGTTGTTGTAGATTTTGTTGTAAAATATTTGCTTGTGCTTTATATTTTATTTTTATCGTGTTGTAGCAATCGCATCTTTCAAAAACACGATCGACATCATTGCCACTTTCACATGAAATTAATGTTTTTAATTTGCCCAAATGATCCAGCACAACCAAATATTCCTTATGTGAATTTGCCTCTTTAATACATTGAAAAAGATCGTCCACTTTGAGTATACGATAAGAAACACGCAGGCCCAATGACATCTCACGAAATTCATTCATGAGTGCCGTAAGTTCAGAATTAGCCTGACGCAGTGCATCACTAGCCTCGTTGCCAACTGTCTGTAGCAAATACTCGGATTCACGTACTAATTGTTCACCTTCATCAATGTATGCATCGGTTGCCGTTTGATTTGGCATAAAATCAGCATAATTTTCTTCAATATTTTTGCGTATGCTCTCTTGGAAACGTTTAATTTGCGACAAGATTTTGGTAATTGAGCTTTTCGTTACCTCGGCATCACCACCATTTGTATCTTTTAGTATTTTTATGATATTATCGCTGTATTGTACCTCCGTTGTTAGCTGAAGCGCCATTGAGAAAGAAAATGTCCGTTTTTGGTATTATAAAAATGTTCGCGACAAAAAATGATATTTGTTTAAAATCAAAATTTTACAAATATCTCGGACAGAAATTTATTGACATTTGTAACGTCAACAAAGTGGTGACTATTTCAAATAATCAACCGAAGCGAATTCGCCAAAGCGAGTTCGCAATAGAAACAGATAGCTTACATAAAAGGCTATTCCAGCAAAAATTGACTTGCAACAAAATTTTTGATAATATGAATTCACTCAGAATAAGACAATGGGAATTAGCTAGTTTTATGAGTTTGCTCCACTTTCGTACAGGCTAATTCCATATGACAAGTTATTTTGTGATATATAAATCAACATATTTGCGATTGGCTGTGGAGACGTGGGTTAACTCAACTAATAAACTGCCTACGCCAATTAATTTGGTATCTCAACAAGCAATTCGCTTGAGAATGATAATTGGAAGTAAATATTGAACTAGGCCGAAACAATATTACCCAAAAAGCAGTGTGTATAATTCTTAATTGTTCAAACCATGTTTTGAATAAATTCTATTTCAAATTGAAGGAATTATCACTCCGATCATCTGTCTCTTCATTTGCTTGTTTTTATTAATTTGTTAGTACACTAAATTATTTACACCAAAGCTCAGAATCGTCATTTTATTTGATTTTCTCTTTCTATCATTCCATGTCTCGTTAACTGAACCAACATATAAAATATATATCAACATTTGTTATCATTTTGGTGAGTACCTTAATCTTGGCTGTAAGAGTGGATTCTTGTGCTATTTGCCTCTCTTAGAGAGACTTATTTTATAATTATTTTTGTGGCCTGTATTATAAATTTTAATTTTATAAAGACCTTTCGCTCACTAACTTATAACAGAATTCTTTTAAATTCCCAGACATTTATTTTCTAACTAAATTTCACCGATGAAGTTCAGGAACATAGCTGATTAGTCTTATTTATTGATAAAGAAACACAGCTGAAATCAACATCATGACATTTCATTTAACCATAATATAAAGCGGTGACTTCCCGATAAACATTTGGGACTGACTGGTTCTTAGATTCTAATTTTTTTATTCGAACGACTGCTTTTTTGTATAACTATGCATCGATTATTGTGTATCTTATGCATTTTTTCCTTAAGTTTACAATGTGTGCTGTGCCTGCTTGATCCAGTCAGTTTGACAATTGGGGCTGGTGTAGGGCTGGGTGCACTTACCGGGTTTGGTTTTCTAAAAGATCAAACTTATTGTCGGTTCACAGAATGTTGTAATGAACGATATATTCCCGGAAATATCAATAGTAAATTAATTCACCAACTCTTTGATTTTATCTATCTCCGCTACTTATATTATAAATTTTTTAGAGCTGAAAAGTATGTTAGCGGATAGATTGTATGGACAACATATTGTAGTGCAACAATTGACATCGGCGCTGGAAGCACATTTCAATCCCAAAAGTTCGTCACGCAAACCTCTGGTAATGAGTTTTCACGGAACACCAGGTACTGGGAAAAATTTTGTATCTGATATGATTGCTGAGGCATTGTATGAAAATGGTGTGAAAAGTCGATTTGTGCATAAATATATGGGAAGACTACATTTTTCGTTGGAGAAACAGGTTGACTATTATAATGTAAGCTATTAATTGCAAAATATTTTAACTGTCAGAGAAATATTCATTTATTATATCAATAGCATCGCATCTTTAAAGACGTGGTAGAAGGCATTAGAGATTGTCCACGTTCGTTGTTCATATTTGATGAAGTTGACAAAATGCCATCTGGCGTGTTTGAATCTCTAGCAGCACTGGTGGACTATAATGCGTTGCCAGATAATTTGGATGGTTCAAAAGCGATATTTATTTTCCTTTCAAATACAGCCGGAGTACAAATATCGGATCAACTGGCTAAGTTGCTTATGAATGGTGTATTACGTGACAGCATAAAATTAAGTTCGTTTGAACAGATACTGGAAAAAGCTTCCTATAACTTAGAGGGTGGCTTCAAAAAGGCAGGTCTGATTGAGCAACATGTAATTGATCATTACATTCCATATCTACCGTTAGAGAAACAGCATGTGCGACAGTGTATAGCGGCAGAATTTCGTAAATGGGGTCGGAATCCAGACGAGAACGTAATAGAGTACGTACCCTTTTTATTCAATATTTGATTCTATTAATAATTTTTATTTGTATTTTTTTTTTTTTTGAAAATTTCAGTTCATTGCTCCAGGACGTAATAACATATGATCGTGGTTACGGTCTTTTTGCCACATCAGGTTGTAAAACTATAGAAAAAAAAGTTGCAACAGAAGTCTGGAGAAATTAAATATACTCGTTTTAAGTTCTCATTTATATGTATTAAAGTTACTGCATAAATGTGTAATTAAATATAAAAATAATTTTTTTTACTACCATGGATTGAGCCATTTCATTCGTGAATCGCGTTTTAATAAATCAGTGTCTAAACGTTTGGGATCTGATTCAAATACCTCGGCTGCTTCCAACCGTTCAATGACGGGACCAATTTCTTTGGTTACAATACATTCACCATTTTCCTTGAGTATTGTGTGTTTCAAATCATTTGCGGTTGGCTCACCGTAAGGGAAGGTAACAGGTGTAACTTTAATCAAATGCTTTATTTTCCACAGTAAAGCATTCACGTCTGGTATATTTTTTACTACCGTGAAATCGCTTTGTTTTCCATCCAGACCGAGATCTTTGAGAATACGTTTCTCCCAATAAGGATTGCCTTTAAAGGGCTTAACACGTTGCACACGGAATAGTTTTGCTGGTTCAATTGGTGGATCCTCGTGATCAGGGTTCCTTTGTAAAAAGCATTATTGAATTTATTTTTAACACACGTTTATGCATACATTTATTTTGTTTAGCTTACATGGGATAGTAAATGACTTTTCCATATTTCTTTCCATCTTTGTATAGATATTTTTTGTTGTGTTTGCCATAACCACGCACTGTTTGTGTTATTAACACAGCAGGTTGTAAAACCTTTTGTAAATTCATATTGTTTTATTTAAGAAAGGAGATTTTATAAGATACCTAACCGCTGTGTTGCTATTGGCAGTTTTGGTTATGTCACAACAAAATCAGCTGTTCGTATACAGAGTTGCTATGAATTTCAATACAATTAAATTATATATGAAAACTCGGATTTTGCGGTACAGTACGGATGGTTCAAAAATATCCCTTGGCGGCAGCTGCAGAAATTCAAAATGGCTATTGAATAGAAATATAGGTGAAGTAATTTATCTTTTTCAATCCATGGGATAATTTAAATAATTTTTTTTTAATTGCATGTGGAATTAGATTAAATTAAGTTAATTGTAACAATTCTCAACAAAATGTCTCAGTCAATAGTGCAAGCAGAAGTTTCGAATTTGTTCTCCACATTAAAGCGTAAAAGACAAAACGAAGAACACATAGAACCATCTGCCGAGGTGAACGCTTGCTTTACAAATTCAGCTTTTAGCTCTACGCCAAAGAAAATTATAGCACGTAGGCGTACACCAATAGTAGCAAAAAGTGATGTTATGCAAAATGCCTGCATGGAAGTAAAATCCATATCAGAAATTGCAAAAAGTACGCTGGAAAAGAAAATCATAACTGATGCACAAGTACAAAATCCATATGAAGTACAACGTAAACCGCCGAAGAAGAAAAAGCGTGAGACAGAAATTATTGAAGCATGCTTCGAAAATCCTGCACTTAATTTAGAAGTGCCAGAAAAGCAATTCAATCCTTATGAGGTGAGATTATTGTTAGGTATTGCCAGTATTTTTATGCCAATAATTAAATATTTAAAATAATTTTTAGGTTCTACGAGACGTGCCCACAAAAGTAAATAAATCCAATTGCTTTGTAAACGCTGCTTTAAATCTACGCATAGAGGATATGTCAACTACACGGAATCCGTTTGAAATCCAACGTTATCCCAATGTTCCGGAAACAAGCGAGGAAGCTGGTGTTGAAAACCCTGGCTTGGAAGACGCACAAGCAACGTCTACTGAATTGAAGATATCATTACCATTTAAGCCTACATTGGGTTGTCGAATAGACTTTTCTAATATACCCATAGAGCAGTTAACGCCAGGCAAGCTACTAGCCGAAAAGCTGATATTCTCACCAGTGTTACAGCAGCCAAAGCGTTCTCTGGATTCCGCAAGTGAGGATAGCAGCATGGATATCGGTAAAGAGCTGGATCGTTATCAATTGGAGTTAGAAAATAGTATCAATGAGGCGAAAATGCGCAAAGCAATTGAGCCATGGTTGGAAACAAAAAGTACTGAATTAATTAAATTAAACATAAACGTAGAACAAAAAATTACCTTTAATCAACGCCTGGAAGAAATAGCAGAGGAAGATGAAGAAAAAGAAAATGAAGACACCCCGGAGCTGCTGCTGGAAACAAGTACCGTAAATGAATGCACGAAGGTATCGTGCATTACGTTAACTGGTAAATTACCAGTACAAAGAGTTGAGAGCGAGTTAAACAAAGTAGAGGAAATCAAGCATGAAGATGTCGCTTATGCCTCCGATTCTGAAGAGGAGGATGTTGATTTTAAGACGCCAGCGCCATTTGTTCGCGCTTACCACCGCCCCGTGGCGTCACATTTCACGGCTGGTAGTAAAGAATCTCTACACTCTAATAGTTCAAATGATTCGAATTCGGATAATAAAAAGTCATCCAGTGTACGTAATATAATACGTAAATCTCTACGAAAACTCATGCATCCCCATAAAGAAGATGATACTTCGGATAAGGAGACGCATTTGTTGGGAAATGATGCAGAAGTTAAAAAGAACCAGTATCATAGTGCGTATAAAATCATACGCAATAGCTTACGGCGCAAAACGCCCAAAACGACACAACTAGAGGAGTCGACAACAAAAGCGGAGATCTCAATAATTGATACCACTGAGCGTACAATGAAACTCAGAGCAGAGTTATTGCCGAACGAAGGAATGGAACGAAAGCACACATTACGTAACAGCTTAAGACGATCGACACGTGAAATAGGTCAACATTTGATGAAAACAGTTTTTCACAAAAATCAAGAAGCCTACGAACTAGGCAAATGATTTCGGACAATTGATTTATTTATATTTTTAATATGCTACTATATTTCTAAATATATTTATTAGAAAAAAAACGACGTTTAGCACCCAAAGATAATACCTATAGTTATTTATGAATTATTATTGTTTAGTATTTTTATTTATGTTGCACTTTTGATATTTTTGAAACGTACATACATATACATATGTTATGTATGTGTATTATGTTAATTGCATTTTTTCAATAAATAATTAGACTTTAATACCATTTTTTTTCGTTGTTACTTCTTATTAATATTTAAAAATGTGGCTGAGCGTATAATTGGCGAATGATTTACATATATATATTGGCACTTTGTAAACGTTGAAGCGATTTTCGGCCGGTCTCCTTCTCCAATTTATGGTTTTGCGTCCTGATGTTTTTTCAACAAATGGAGAGACCTACAGTTTATACTATGCCCCCTCCGAACGGCTGATGGTTTTTTATGAGGAGCTTTTGATTTTCATGTCATAAAAACATACTGAGAGGGGTTGACATTCCCTGCCGAGGGGCAACCGCGATTAGAAAATTTAATTTAATTTTTTATTCAAATTAATGATTTAGATGCGCTGTGGTTGTTTTAAATTTTACTGCATACAAAAATTAATTATTATTATTGTTGTTGTTGTTGTTGTTGTTGTAACCGCAAAATTATTCCCTAAAGTACTTTTTGGGGAATGTTGCGGGAGTGACAGTCCTTAGCCGGATAAAAATCCGGGTCGTTCCGGTATAAAGACCCGACTGTCGCGGGAACTATTGGATTTTAGTCGTCTCTTACGACAGGCATGCCTTATCGCGGGTAAATTCTTGAGCCCCTAACCCGCATACCTGTCTGGTGTAGTTCTCAGATTTTTGAAAATAATTAAAAACAATTTTATATATTTTGTGTTTTTTTTTTATTTATTTTTGGAAAAAATTTCCATCAATTGTAGTTTAATTGATTTTTATTTATTACATATTTCTTCATTTTCTTCTACACTGTATAGCATCATTCAACAGATCGGTGTTTTTGTGTTTGATTACATCGTTTACTTGTTTACGGTATATTTGTTTTTGTGTATGTATTTCTCTTTTAATCGATCTTGTTAATTATGTTTAAAGTATTCGAATCTTCATAATTCTCATAATGCTTTTCTACACATTCTATCAATTGTAACTGCTCCCTAACTTAAAAATTAATAATTTCTCAAACTATATATTGATTTATGTCGTTTATCAAATAATGTATTTATTTATCTGTTTTGGTATTTTCACTTTCTATTTTGTTTTTTATTCAAAGTTATTTTTTTTTGCGTTTCAGTTTCTACTTAAAGTAATTTCTTTTTATTCAGTAAGTTTAATTTTAATTATTTGATTTTGGTTTCATTTTAATGTTGCAGAGTGGTTGGTTTACAATTGTTAATAACTACATACCATACATACATGTGTATATTTATTAATTATTACTATAATTTATGTATTCATAATTAAATTTCGTCTATTAATTAATTACGTTGTTTGTCGTATGCATTTATATACATACATTCATACCCAGATAATTATGTACGTATTTAATTATAACTAGCCTAACGTAATACGTTACGCATCTCTTTCTTTTAATTTATTTTGTCGACCATGCATTAGCATTTAATTTTTTTTATTAACACAGTCGTCATGTATTTACTTTTTATTTAATTAGTATATTTTTATATTAATTCCCCTATGTTTAAATGGTTCATATACATATATGTATAGCTTGGCTTTTTTTTGTTTTTAATATGTTCTCAAAAAAAAAAAGATTAACCAATTACAGACTCACAAAAGTGGCCTAAATGTTAAACGTTAGATGACTTCATTTTTTAACTGTCGCCTATGGCATAATACTCAAAGGAAAAATTGTATAGAAAAGGTTAATCTTGTAAGTACATATGTATGTATGCATGTGTGTATACTACATATGAACATAAATATGCATGCACAACTGTCTGAGAATGAATATTTTCGAAGGTGGTTTTTAAAAAAAATGCATTTTGTTGGTTTCAACGGTGGCAGCACATATTGCTGAAGAATGAATGAAATTGAAATAGTAATTGAATTTTTTTCTCGTTATTATTTATTACGGTAGAGCTTACTGCATAGATCTCTACCCACTTATGAAGTGCCAATGAGTAGAAAGAGTCTGAATAGGCTACATTTCAGCAAGGTATTGCTAAATCGCAACCTACGCATAATTAAGCGCTTTCCTGTTGTTTTTTTTTTTCAAATAAAACAGTTTGAGCTATATTTTAAGATTGTACACACCTTTCTATTTGAGTTAGTTAATTTTTTTAACATTATTTAACACGTACTGCATGTATAAATACAACTTGCACACACAAACCACAAACAGTTCAACGCTAATTGAAAAAAAGCGTTAACCTTAATTTACATAAACTATTCAATATAATAATATTGATTTAACGTTAATTTCGCAATGTAATTCCGTTTAATTTATATATTTTCTAATACACTACACTAAGCTACTCTTGTATATTATTTACATTGTTTGCTTGAGAATTACGGCGATGTTAAGGTAATTTTACATATCTTACTGTGATTTATTTATAAACAAATATCAGTTGTGGGTGTATTGAAAATTACGCTTTTATAAAGTACAGAAGAAATGAATTGCAATTAAAATCAGAAATAAAAATCAACTAACGGAAAGCAAGTACATTTCCGCTAACACAACACAGTTTATCGATTAAGAAGCTTATCGATAGCAACAATGTAACTTTAAGCCAATTTGTATGCTGCCAATTAAGATGGGGAAATGTTTTAAAAACTTATTTGCTTACTTTTAAATGAAAAAGTATTTCACGATGAAGAATTTTTAATATATTTACAAAAACTTAAATTGGAAATTAATGTTTGGTTCCTATTTATTGCGATTTATTAAATTTTTACTTAAAATTTAAATTGTATTTCGCTGTTATTGCAGACAAAATTCCTTTGCTCAAATTCTATATGTATGTATATGCTACTATTAATTACTATTTAATTAAAAAATTAAACTTTTGCTACTATGTATATTCATTCTGAGTGTAGACTGAAACTTCATTAACTGTTTTAAGAATCTGTGTGCATATGTATGATTGTGTGCCTATTTATATACAATATATAACATTTATATACCATTTTCGCCTACACTTAATTTATTTGCATCTGCACAGCAGAGAATTTTTGTTTTCATTAAATTCAATAATTTACGCTTGGTAATTTTGAAAAATTTTGGTAATTTCACTAATTTGCTTTTACTTAATTTAAATCTTTAAATTGTTTCTTGCTTTTTATACTTTTATATTTTTATTTGTATTTTTATTTTTATTTATTTAAAGTATTTGCTCAGAGTCTACAAGTTTATAAGTAAGTCTAGAATTTTACTTTTTAAAAGTTAAACCATTTTTCCAATATTTTCTTAATTTTCAACTGCAATCTTAAATGAATAATGTAATATTTTAACAGTATTTTTTTATTGTATATGCGAACTGGTTGTACATTTAGACAGTGGGTGCGTAAGAGTGAGTTAAAGAGAGGAAGAGAGAGAAAGAGAGAGAGAGACAGTAATAGAAAGAGTAGACAGTACTATGCTATTTAGGTAGTTTAGTAGTAAAATTTTTCCCAAGCAATTTACATTTGCAACGAAATGTTACAGTTATGAGTAATGTGACAGGCAGGAGGTAAGTTTGGATTGCTGCAAGTGCAAGTGTTGTGTGGGGTGTGGTATGTTTATTGTACAATATTTCAACTATGGTCAACGTGTAAATGCGTGATGAGGTAATTCTTGTGCGAGTGAATTGGGCAGTTACATACATAAACGGCATGAAAGTTGAATTTGTTCTGTTGGAAAGGTTGTTTGATTATTTTCTTGCTTTGTTTCATGAACCAATAATTACGTATGTACATGCTGGCTTTCTGCTTACGGTTACGGTATGTTGAATTTGAATTTGTGGTGAGAATTCAAAACAGTATGGCAATGATATTGCCTGAGTCTGTACAATGGTTGTAACGTTTATTACGTTTGTTGTTGTTGGATGTGCGCTTTATTTACTTGCTTATTTATGCTTTAAATAAATTGATTTTTAAAATAGTTTATTTTATTTCTACACGTTACTTTTATATTGTATTTTTTACATCGTGTTTTTATTTATGCTAAAAAAAATATATAATATTATATTATTATTATATACACATGTATATAAAAAATATATAAAAAGGATTTGTTTGAATTGTACAATGTGAACACTGCATAAATTTATAAAAAGTGAAAAATGCAAAAAACGTTTTTTATTTTCTTTTTGAAATATATGTATTTATATAATTTTTTAATGCTATGTGTTTGTTTTTTATAAGTATTTTTTATGGAAATAAGATTTAAAAAACCAAAAATTAAAAAAGAGCTAAAAAACAACATAAAATATTTAAACTTTTTTTTTTACAAAAATTTCAACACTTTTCGCATTTATTGTTTGTGAATGGGAGTTTTTAATAGTCATAACTACGGTTATATGCTTTAAACTTTAACTGTAAATCCTTTAATATATATGTATGTATGTATTTATATTTTCTATCTTTACTTTTATTTATTTTGTTTTAAATGCAATTACAGACCTGAATACAGATTTTTTTGAGTTAAAAAATTTCACTACTTTTTAAATGTCTATTTATGTATGTGTTTATGTATGTATGTAATAATGTAAGTTTATTGCATAGTGCGCGCTGTTACTACATGAGAAAATGTGCCATTTTAATAATAAATTTTTACATATTGGCAGCACTTTCTAGTGATATTAGTTTGTTTTCGTTTTTTTTTTTCTTGTTCTAGAGAAACCCGTTACGCGCATTTGTCGTTTAAGTTATGTATAGTTTAACAATTATGTATTTAAAAATTATGCTTGGTTTTGTGTATTTTTCTTTTTTCATTTATATTGTTTACTATTTCATTAATTTACAATGTATTTACTTTTACCACTCCACTATTAATTTTGTTTATTTTTGCAAAACTTTGCTATATGCATGTTGTTTCACATAATTTATATATTTCGATTTATTGACGTCAGAAAAATTTTATTTCGCTTATACACTTTGGAATTCATAATAATAATTTAAATAAAAAAAGTATGGCAAATAATACAATTATTTCGGGTTTGGTGGTGAATTTAGAATGCGTGGACTTTTTTTTGTGTATTTATAGAGTCTTTCTTTTTGAAGTATTGCGGAAACTTGCAATTAATAGCGTTTTTATATTTTTCGCATATTGAGCTAACAAATTCACCACATTAAAGTGGCAGCACTGCGTGTGTAGATTTCATTTAAGTGAAAATGAATATTTAATTAGATGCATATTATACTTATATTTGGTTAACACAATTATTAATAATAATAATCATAGTAATAATAATAATAATAATAATATATAATACTTATATAGAAATATAAATAAAATATAATAATTTGCAATTTCATTTATTGCATAATTTATTTTCTTACTTAATACTTTATGCTAATTCACATTTTTTTATAATTACAAATTTAAATTATTTTATTTGTAAGTATATTTAAACTAATAAAAGACCGTATAAAATAACTTATGAATTACAAATGCAAACATCTGGCAACACTCAACAACTTAAGGCAAATGTTGTGTTAACATATTACTATAAATTATACCATACACCTAAACGCAACAATTCGACAATATTTTACTCGACAATTAAATACAATAAAAATTTAACTTTTCCTGCAGATACTAAATAAAAAGCGTCCGCGTGTTTGTTGTGTTAGTTTTTTTGTGCTTTTAAGTTTCATTATAGGGAAAAGAGCGAAAAGTTATAGGATTAAATCAATTGCAAGAAAATAATATACAAAATAGTTATTTCACATGTCCATAAATAACTGCTGTAAACTGTATAACATCCCTGTCAATTTTTTTATCCGGCAGCGCTAAACTGAAAATGAATTGTCATTGCTTGATTGATTTGTCTTGCACGTGCATACTCGTTCTAAATTAATGCAAACTATCAGAAGTGTTATAAATATATGGTTGTGTAGTGTTTAAAAGATATAAAAATAAACAGAATTGTGTTTAAACCGAAATCTGGAAACCTTATATTTTCAAAAATACATATTTTGCGCTAACGTGTGCTTACGTGATACTGACGATTGCTGGTAATGTGCTTGAGGAGTAACATGTGACTGGCGGACATGATTGGCAATGAAAATAGTGTTGTTGTATGTAATTAAAGTGAAAACTAAGAGACTTTTAGAAAAAATAATAATACTAATAATGAAAATTTACACTTTATAGTCACTCAAGTGATTTAACTGATTTTCGGTATGCCTAAGGATATTCGCCAAAAAAATGGAGGATCATAAAACTATTTCCATATAATTGCCGGCTTAAGTTATTATTAATTTATATGATTAATATTTTATAAGTTTTAATTCAAATTTGCTTAAATAATATTGAATATACTTTAACTGAAGTAATATATGTGTTTAAATTAAAATTAAAAAAAAAAATATTTGCCTTCGTTTAACTAAATTGTGCACTATACGCTTTCGCCTGTTTACTATTTCAAAAATTTTCCTTTAATTTAACACAATTTTACGTCAATAAAGTTTTTGGAAATTCTTCTTTCTAACACGTACATACTGTTTTTTTCCACCCAAAGAACACAATCTAAGCTAGAACTACACAACAACAACACTAGTGACGAAAATAGTTACAATCGATAAATACACTTACTTATAGAATTAGATTGATAGGATGGTGCCGATTATTAATTGTTAATTATCGTTTTTGTCTTAAGGAAGGCAACACAACGTCTAATACACGACCTCAACTGTATGCCTCCATCGCTTCGGTGGCATGGTTGTGTGTGAAATTTTCCAATTCGAATTTTAACTACGATTGTTCGTTTGATTGGTGTTGATTTCGGTTTGGATTTTGGATACAGAATTTAGGACTTTGAATGCTTTCGTGTGTTGCGCACAATTATTATTATAAATCCGCCGCGCTGCTGCCTCACTGCCCTCCACTAAACGCACAAGTACACGCCGTCATTGCGGCAATAATCAAGATTGCCATTGTTATTGCCACCGGACTGCCGCTGGTCGCTGATCGCTGATTTATTATTGTTGTCGTAACAACAAAAGTTTACCAACTATAAGCCGCCGCTGCTGTCGCATGTTTACCGTACGTTTCCGTAGAGGGAGGGGAAAATTTTTATGACGTCTCTAAAAATCATACTTTGAATGTTTTTTCTCGCCGCTGCTGCCTACTCGATTGAGTTAGGCCACCGTTGGCGAGATGATGCTGATGACCGCCGCTGCTGTTGCCGCAAAGCGCTGTATCGTCGCATGCATAAGTGGATATACGATGATCGCTACGTGAACGTTCACGATCATGTGTGCGTTCGCCGCGATGTTCACCGCTGCGGAGTTTGCTACTACTACCACCACCGCCGCCACCGGCAGTTGCTTGTTGCAATTGCTGCTGCAGCTGTTGTTGTTGCTGTGAGCGCCGATTGCCCAGGCGTTGGAGTTCATAGTCGCGCGCATCGGCCACATCGAAAGTAGCGGCACGTTGGTGTTTCAGTGCTGATACCGTAGCACGCGATGAGCTGTGTCGATGATGGCCATCGCGATCGCGATCGCGTTCACGTTCACGCTCCCGATCACGTTCGCGATCACGTTCGCGGTCTCGTTCTCTTTCCCGTTCTCGTTCTCGTTCACGATCCCGTTCTCGTTCACGATCCCGTTCTCGTTCACGATCCCGTTCACACTGCTGCTGTGCCCCTTGTGACTGTGCAGAACCGTGATGATGATGATGATGCGCATCATACTGCTCGGGACAGTATTCATCGTATTCGTGTTCGTCGCATGTCATTGTTGTAGCTGCGCTCGTTGTGGCTTTGGCAGTGATGGTCTGGCTATCACGCGTCGACATTGTAGCAGTGCCCACGCTGGTAGAGGAACGATGTTTCTTTGGCGGCAATGGTATGGGTGGTGGTGCGGCCGTTTGGGCCGCTACTGCTGCGGCTGGTGGCGCAACTGTTGTGGGACATGTTGTTGTCGTACGTCGCACAACATCTACGCCGCCACCGCAGCAGGCACACTCCTACAATTCTGTGACGGAATAGAGATCGTTATTGGCATGTGAGCCGCCGCGCTTCAGCGAGCGATAGTACAGCTGCTGTTGTTGTGCTTCAATTAAGTATTGTTGCTGTTGCTGCTGCTGCTGCTGAAGCTGCTGTTGTTGATGTTTCGTACTAATCGCGCCATGATAATTATTGTTGGGAGTTGTTGCAGTGGCATGCCTTTGAGCTTGCTGTTGCTGAAGCGTATACGAATCATAAGAGTGTTGCTTTTTTACGCCACCACTGCCACCGAATTGCTGCTCTATATAAGCCATACCAGCGCTGTTGCTGGATGTACGTGCGTTATCGAGCGTCTCGGCGCGTCTCGGGCGTTCATGACGTTCCGCGCGCTCCCGCTCACGCTCACGTTCGCGTTCGTAACTGTAAGCGTTGGTGGCGGTCTGTTGCTGTCGCAAACTGGCCGATTTCGGCGGTAATGTTTGCAAGTGATTGGCGTTTAAAGTGCCGCCAGCCGTCGAAGTGCTTATCTCACGTGAGGTCTTCTTCTTCGGCGGCAATGGGGGCTGTTGCTGATGCTGCTGTTGCTGTGCCGGCGGCATAGCAGCTGTGGGCAATTGCATTTTCTGTGCTTGTGGTCGTTGTAGCGAACGATATTGATTGAGATTGGCTGCGCATAGTGGCTGTGGCGAGATTTTCGATTGTTGTGCCTGCTGCGGTATCTCCGGCAGTGGTTGATTCACAATCGATGAAGGATTGAGTGAACGCTGCGGTGGTGGTCGTGGTGGCTCACGTGGCGCGGCTGTTGGCGGTGGCGGCTGTTGCTGTGCAACCGCCATGTGTTGTTGCATTTGCTGGGCTTGCACCGATGGCTGTGGCTGTGTTTGGGGCTGATAGCCCGACGTCTCAATGCTATAGACTGCCGTGGGTGGCAGTATGTGGGTCGTGGGCGGGTGGTGTTGATGCAGTTGCTGATGCAGCGTCGGCTGCTGCTGCTGCTGTTGCATTTGCAGTTGTGCCTGTGCTTGTTGTTGTTGTTGTTGCTGTTGTTGTGCTGCTGCCGCTTGCAAAGCAGCCAATTGCTGTTGTTGCTGTTGCTGTTGCTGTAGCTGCAGCTGTTGTTGTTGCTGTTGAAACTGTTGCAGTTGCTGTTGTTGCATAAGCATTTGCTGCTGCTCTTTGGCATATGAGCTGCCCACACCCGTTGTGCCCGGTATCTCGGTAAACGTATTCGTTGTGCGCGGCTTTGGTGGTGGCAATGGCGCCGGTGGTGGTGGCGGTTGTTGTTGTTGTGTCTGATGTGGCACAATCACCTCGGTCGTGTACGTTTGCGGTATGCAGTCCGGTTGCTGGCAGTAATCCTTTGAAACGGTTGCAATGGAGGGTGTCTTGGCGCTGCGCAGATTCGGCGAAGGACTGGCGCCCTTCAACGAGCCGCCATAGCGACCGACATGGCGCAGCGTGGCGCACTTATTGGCCGTGGCGGCGGCAACAATATTCAAATTATTATTGCCGCGCACCGCCTTCGGTCCGATGCTAATGTACTTCGGATCGAAACGGTTGAAACTATTATTCGTAACATCACGTGGGTCGCGATCATCGTCACGATCCAAACCGTTGCCGGTGGAACGATGTACCGCTTGTGCGGAGAGTACAGAACGTATGGAGGAACCTGCGGAGCGTGGTAATGTGGCTGAAGCGAAGATATTTTTTAATGAATTGTTGTGTTGTTGGTATTTGATGTGATTGCTAACGTTGTTGCTACCGCCGAGTATGTTGATTGCTGCGGTATTGTTGGTGTTGCTAATAATGCCTGCATTTGTGTTGCTGCAGGCAAGCGATTCTCAGTAAAAATCGCTCGATTCGAGAGTCTTACACTGTTTGCTGAGTGTGGCGTATTTACCGTTATTAGGACCACTCAAATAGCCCGATGAATTTTGCTGATGATGTGAGGGTAGCCGGCCGAGTGTGTGATGACCCGATCTGTGGGTAAAACGCGGAGAGAAAGAGAGAGTAAGGGTTAGAAAGGAAAGGTGTAAGCAAAAGAGGAGATAAAGAGATGCGACAAAGGGTTTACTCATTGTTATTGTAATTAAATACGTATGTATTAAGTGAAATGATCTCAATGTCAGAATTAAGTGTATTAGTGGTTGAATTAACGGTATAATCTTTAAATCATATATTAGTATATATACATAATTATCTACACGAGAATACATATGTATATACGAGTATATAAATTGAAGTTGAAGTTTCCTTAAAAAATAAATTAAATTTAATTTCATAAATATTATACAAACGCTAATAAGTGAATTTAAGGAAAAAATAATAATTTTAAAATTTGTTAAAAAAATATCATTTTAAATTTTACGAAATATCTCATACATACTTATATTCGTATATAGAGAAAATATTTATTCAAATTAAAACATAAAATTGATTTAGGTAATTTGTTTTCCGAATCCCAAATGCGTTCTTTTGTGATTACAAATATCAACTAGAAACGAAAATATTATCATTTACACAAAAATTGGTTATCCGAAATATGTGGATAAGCCGGATAAAACTCAAAACGTTAGTTAAGTTTTTTGTTTTATAACAAATTAGAATTAAAAAACACATTATCCGATATAAGTTGATTGAATCCGTTAAGTTTCATATACATATATGGTAAAAAGTTAAAGCATAAAGTTTATTGAAGCGATATTGTATTCGAAACGCAAATATGTCTTGTAAGCTTAAATGTGCTTAAAAACTATTATTTAGAAAAAATTCTTACTTTTCGGCAAAAAAGTTCACATTCAAGCATGCCGGATAAACTAGATAAAGTTCATTTATATATAGAAATATTTTTAAGTAAATAAAATTAAAAAAAACTTTATCCGAAAAAAATGAGAAAGGTCGGATAAATTTTACATCACCTTCTAAATACTATAACATGAAATTGAATGAAGAAAAATGTTATCCGAAACTTAAATATGTACATATAAGCATTAAGAGCCCCAAAGATTTCTTTGAAAAGAAATTCTTATTATTGTTATCCGAAATGTATAAATGTGTTTCTTGAAGGAGCTTGATCTTTTTAATCACTATACAAATTATTCTATGCCTCAAACAAACCAATATTTAATGCTGATACTTAAAATATCTTTTATATTTACTTATCCGTGTAATCCGAATAGCATAAAGGTTTTCGATTGACCGAAAATCACCTCTATGCAGAAAAGTAAGCATTGTTGCGTTAAAATTTTATACCATTTTCGGTTATTCCCGGATCCTAGACTATTTAAAATTGATTTATTTTCTCATTTTGTTCACTTCAATGTTATTAGAGAGTTTAAAAGATTTTCTCGATTTATTCAGTCTACTTAATGCATACATATGCTATAATTTTGCGAAATATGAAAAAAAATTTAATCAATTTAATAATTGCATGTAAATTAATTTTCCAGTTATTATCGAAATTATAATTGTATTGATTTAATTAGCATTCTAAATGAGTTAAGCCACCTGTTAAATTGCCTTTGGCCAAGAGCAAAGGCTCAAAATAGACATTATGCCAGCTGCCAAATCTTTACGCCGAACTATAAGTAGCTGATTAGGCGTTAAGCTGCGGCTGGCTTGTACAATAAGTTTAAATCATGATTTTCATAGTACATACTATTTGTATACACACATATTTCTAGCTTGAAAATTATGCATTTGAATGTATGTTTTGTGCATACATACATATGTAAGTACGTCCGCGCCTTATGCATATGTATGTCCGCAATAACTCTTTTGCTGCTCTCCTACACATAGTTACATATATGTGGTTGTTAATCTGCTTGTGAAATGATAATATTTTTACAACTGTTAAACTTTGAACGCCGACAAGTCTGGCTAGTTTTCTAAATTCATATACATACACACATATATGCTCCAGTAACTGTAACTAACTTTGTTCACCTGCCCTTGATTTGTTTATTTTATTTTATTTTATTTTCCTAATGCATTAAGGTATTAGCTGAGGCATAAAAACACATTTAATTTGTATTTTTTTGTAAAAATTGCAAAGTTCTTAGTAAAAAAAGAAATAAAATTTATAAAATTTATATAAAATTTTGTGATTTTTGTTTTATGAAAAGTAATGTAAAGATAATTTTTTTATGGTTCTTTGTTTAAAGTTAATATAAGCAGCACAGCACAAGTGCTCTAGTGCGTATGAGTGATATTTTTATCATAATGCATTTGTTTGCCAGTCAAAAGGTTACGTATACGCCTAGGAGAGTGCAATAAATTCTGTACATAAAGTGACAGTTTAAAAAATTACTATTGTCCGCTCAAGCGTGTTGAAGTGAATTGGGAAAAATCAAAAATTAATTGAAGTGAATTAAAAAAATTAAATATTAAAAATTATATTAAAATTATAAAATATAAATAAATTCAACTAATTGAAAAATGATAAATAACTTAAATAAATATAAATAAAAAATATATTAAATTTAAAAATAGAATGATTACGTAAAAATTTAGAAATTTAAAAAGAATTAAAAAGAATAAAATTTATACAAAAAATTTGGAAGAACTAAGTAATAAACAGAAATTAAAAAAAAATTGAAAAAAACAGAAAAATATGGATATTTTAAATTTATAAATATTTAAAAAATTTGGAAATTTAATTTACGAACAGAAGTTTTATAGAAATAACAAAAATCTTTTATAAAGAAATTCTGTATAGTATTAATTTTTTTAATTGATGTACAGAAAATTCAACAGAAATTTGATACATAATTTAGCATAATTATTAATAGTTTTTTTTGGATGTTTATATAAAAATTGGTATATTAAATTAAAAAATCGGAGATTTTACATAACTTATTTGAACATATTTGAAGAAATTAATTAGTAAAGCAAAATTTTATGCAAAAAAAAAACAAATATGAAATTAATTTATTAACAGAAATTTCATTTGAAATTGGGTAAATAATTATAACATTATAAAGAAAAAATGTAGAGAAACTGTGGAGATGCAAAAACTTTGCAGCATAAAATTTCGTTTGTGTACTGCCAAAAATATCTATTATATGTATACGTATAAGTGTATGGGAGTAGTACACAAATTAGTACAATTTTTTTCTATACATATGTACTTAGATACATGTTGTTTTGTAACCTGGAAAAGATTCGTAAAGCATTGCACAATAATAAATTTACCATATATTTAATATTCAAATAATTCCACATTAATACCAGTTAGGCAAAAAAAATTATATATACCATATATTATATATATATATATATATAAAAGCTGCCTAATATTAAGGTTATTGCAAAAAAAATATATATTATAAAAATTAAAGCAATAAAACTAATAAGAATAAAAAATAATGAAATAGAAAAAAATTAAATAAATAAAAAATAGTAAACAAATGGAAAATATATTGAATATTTTATAAAAATGGTGAAAAAATTTAAAAAGAAATTATATAAAAGAATTATTGAAAAAATATTTAAAAAAATAATATTAGTAAAAAGTATATAAAAAAATTAAAAAGTAATATTTAAGAAAAATTATGAAAAAAATTATGAAAAAAATTGTGAAAAAAGTTTTGAAAAAATACTTAAAAAGCCACCGCTTTAAATGAATTATTTACGCTTATGTAGGCGTATTAAAAAATATTTAGCAGCAAAATAAATATTTGTATTAGCCTGAACTTAATATGCACTTTCGCTCAACTTATAAATTACTCATACGCAATGGCGAACCATAAAAACCAAATAATAAGCTTGTAGTAAAACTACAATATACATTTATGTATGCATAAAGTACAACAAAGTAATATGTGTTTAATTATGTATTTGCATAATACAATATTATTGAATATAACATTGTCTGCCGCTACTATGTAAATATAAATAAATAATGCTTCTTTTAATGTTTATGTAGTAGAGAGAGATTTGTAAAATCATATTAATATTAAATTTGTGTTCAGTTTTTTTCTTTTTTTTTTTCAAATTAAATTATGGTAATTATGCGGAAAATGTTGTGAAATGTGGCGTGTAAAAAGTTATTTTTGTGGTTGAAAATATGTATAGTAAATGTATAAATAAACATATCATGAATTTGTAACTATTTGTATTTCTAAATTTTAATAAATAGGAAAAAAATATCGAGGAAAATTATGAAAAATATATTTTTGATCGAAAATTTAAAGACATTTTTTATTATACCAGAAAATATTAAATAAAAAAATATCCAATTTTAATTTAAATTTAACCTTAGCATGGTAATGCAAAAAAAATGAAAAATAATAAAAAAAATGTATTAATTTTAATTTAAGGATTTAAAGTAACGCAGAAAAAATACATAAACTTAAAAAAATTAGAAAAACAGAGATAACTCATTATATTATTTTTTTTAATATTTTTACAAAACAATTTATTATTAATATCAATGAGCTACTAAGATTATTTTAAAATAAGGGGGGTGTACATTAATTGTACATAAACTCTTTTCTGATTAAATAGTAAATGTAACAAAAAACTAAAAAAAAATATTAGTATTGCTGTTATTTACACTATTTTAGATATTTATTTAATTTATCAATTTTTAGTTAGCAACTAATTAATAAATTTGAGAAAGTAACAATAAAAGTATTAAAAAAATGTAAATAACTAAGCTACCAATAAAAGACCTTTTTTCAAATTAAAAAAATTTAAAAATATTTTATTAACTTTAAAGGGTAAACATAAAATAATAAATATAATATTATAATTATATTTTTTTTTGAATTCTAAGGTTTTTTAATAGAACTCAGTTTACATGGTAAATGTGTTACATAAGCAACAAAATAAAATGCCTTTATTTGTATTTTAATTGATTAAAAAAATAACTTTAAAATAAGCTAAAAAATAATAATTATATTAAAATTTAAGCAGCGTGAAAAAGTAAATTAAACTATTTTCACTCCGCAATGTAAGCACAAATACCAAATTCTTATTATAATTGAAAAAAAATTATGTTTACGGCAAACAAAAAAAGGAAATATTAAATTTTTCTTTCAAATAAAATCGCAAAATTTAATTACACACATTAAACTGCCGTTTTTAATGAAAAAATTTAATCAATAATTATTTTTAAACATTTCCTCCATTATTATCTAAAAAAAACAACATTTAAGTAAAATACGCCAAATTGTATTAAAATCAGTAGGATTAGATGGTGATTATGTAAATATATAGCATATATATGTAAATGAACTTAAGCGCAAATTAAGTGCATTGAAAAAAAAACATAAGTAAATAAAATGAAAATTAAAACGAAAAAAAAATTAATAAAAACCATGCCTTGTGCCATGCACCACAACATCATAACCCGGCGGTGGCGATGGTGAGGCCTTACCACCAGCACTGCCGCTAGCCATCAGACGGCCGCCTAATAAGCCTGTGGCCGAGCTAACTATGCCGATGGCAGCACTAGTGTGGGGGCCACCGCCACCACCACCAATGCCAGCGCTAGCGTTAGTTCTATGTGGATGATTGTTGTATTGTAGTGTGGTTGTAGTTGTTGTAGGTGATGATGAAGCGACGAACCCTGTTCTCATTCCAGCGGTGCCATTGCGATGCGAACCAAGCGTACCGCTGCTGCCAATGCCGCCGCCACCGCCGCCGCCGATACCGCCAATGCCAATGCCATGCGTATTTGCGGATTGCTGATGGTGTGGTAGTGTGCGATTCATGGTGCCCGAATGTAGTGGTGCGGTGGGTGAAATGCTTGCGCTCGGTGCGTTCGATGGGAAAAGCGGCGTGGTTTCGGATTTATCGATATCCAGTGAGCTGGGTCTAAAGCGAGCGAGCGAGCGAAAGAGAGCGAAAGAAAGAGAGAGAGAGAGAAAGAGGAAGAGAAATAGAGTGTGAAAAAAAAGCAAAGAAAAATTGAAAAGTGACAAGGAGAAGGTGTGAAAGAGATTTAAAGGTGAAGAGGGGGAGAGAGAGAGAGTATGAGGCAGAGAGGGAGAGAAGTCATCAATTAAGATAGATAATGGAAAGTATCGAATCAACACAATCAGAAAAAAGGAAGAGGCAGAAAGGGAAAGCGAATGGAGAAAAATATAGTTTGAATAAAAGAGTTGGGATTACATTTCAAGAGGTAAAGATATTTAGGAATACATAATTGTCAAAAATATAAAGAGAGGTGGAGCAAAAACAGAAGGTCGTTGAAGAGAAAAAAAATGAAGAGAGGGGAAAGACATAAGGTAGTTAGACCAAATAATAGACATAAAATTAAAAGGAAAGAGCGAAGAGAAAGAGAGCAGATTGAAAGAAGATAGAAAAAAAATAATGCGAAAAATTAATTGAAAGGGAATTTTAAAGTAGAATAAGCAAAATGAGAGAGGAAGGGAGGCAGAGCAATGAGGAGAGAAGGAAGAGGAAGGAGGATAGAGATTGAGTTTAAGAATGGGAGAGGTGTTACAATGATTGATAGAGTGAAAAAGACAAGAGGAAAAATTTGAGGTGATCAAGGAAATATGTGAATTCGTTTAAGTAAACAGAAGAAGCAATAAAACATTGTCAAACATATGATAAGAAACAGCGAAAAAATTAAAAATGTCGAGTAAAAAGAAAACAAAAATACGAAGAGCGTGGAAAAAAAGAAGAAAAAATATACACAAAACACATTAGTAAGAGAAACACATGCGTGCCGAATATATATTAGAAATACAAAAATAAATCTATTTCGCTTGTCCAACTTACCGTTTGCTCAAATAGATCCAAGCATGCGAATCCGCATACACCAATATGGTGAGCAGAAACGAGGTCAACAGCCCGGCGACCATCATTAAGCTCAGCCCCAGTAGACCGCCACTGCAAAGGCCATGCAGAGCATCGGCATAATGACGATCAATGGCACGACGATCGAGCGTCGCTGAGAGTACAGTGAGATTACGTTTTGTCTCCTCCAAATCATTCTCCATTGCCTCAAGCGTTTTATGCACATCAATGCGGGGATATGTCTCCTGGCTCATGCTGGAAATTATACCAGAAAATTTGTTTTTAGACCAAAAATAAAAAATAAAAAAATATGAAAAGTAGAAAGAAGAAAAAATTCATTAAAAATTTTCAGAGAAAATATATACGCTAACTTATGTATGTATATATATATATTGGGTTGCCCAAAAAGTAATTGCGGATTTTTCATATAGTCGGCGTTGACAAATTTTTTCAACGGCTTGTGACTCTGTAATTGCATTTTTTCTTCTGTCAGTTATCAGCTGTTATTTTTAGCTTGCTTCAGAATAAAAGTACGTGAAATTTTGTTTACATTTGTTTGTTTGGCGTCAATTTTAATATGGAGCCCACAAAGGAGCATTTTCGTCATATTTTACTTTATTATTTCCGTAAAGGAAAAAACGCGGAGCAGGTTGCTAAAAAGTTACGAGATGTGTATGGTGATGAAGCCTTAAAAGGAAGACAGTGTCAAAATTGGTTTCGCAAATTCCGTTCTGGAGATTTTTCACTTAAAGATGAGCCACGTTCAGGTCGGCCAAATGAAGTTGATGATGACCAAATCAAAGCATTAATCGAATTGGATCGTCATGTAACTGAGCGTGAGATAGGAGAGAAGTTAAATATACCAAAATCAACCGTTCATTATCACATAAAAAGTCTTGGACTGGTGAAAAAGCTTGATATTTGGGTACCACATGTATTGAAAGAAATTCATTTAACACACCGAATCAACGCTTGTGATATGCACCTTAAACGCAATGAATTCGATCCGTTTTTAAAACGAATCATAACTGGAGATGAAAAATGGATTGTTTACAACAACGTTAGTCGAAAACGATCATGGTCCAAGCATGGTGAACCAGCTCAAACCACTTCAAAGGCTGATATCCACCAAAAGAAGGTTATGCTGTCTGTTTGGTGGGATTGGAAGGGTGTCGTATATTTTGAGCTGCTTCCAAGGAACCAAACGATTAATTCGGATGTTTACTGTCAACAATTGGACAAATTGAATACAGCCATCAAGGAGAAGCGACCAGAATTGGTCAATCGTAAAGGTGTCATATTCCACCAGGACAACGCTAGACCGCACACATCTTTGGTCACTCGCCAAAAACTGAGTGAGCTTGGCTGGGAACTTTTGATGCATCCACCATATAGCCCTGACCTTGCACCATCAGACTACCATTTATTTCGATCTTTGCAGAACTCCTTAAATGGTAAAACTTTCGGCAATGATGAGGCTATAAAATCGCACTTGGTTCAGTTTTTTGCAGATAAAGGCCAGAAGTTCTAGGAGCGTGGAATACTAAATTTGCCAGGAAGATGGCAAAAGGTTATCGAACAAAATGGCAATTATATATTTGATTAAAGTTCATTCTAAGTTTTATTAAAAATGCATTTACTTTCTTTTAAAAAATCCGCAATTACTTTTTGGACAACCCAATATATATATATATATATTAAACTCTTTATCAAATTTTTTTTATTTGAAAAAAAAAAGAATATAATAATAATAATAATAATAATAATAATCATAAGTCATTAAATAGTAATATGTTGAAGAGTTATTGAAAGATTATAAAACAAAAAAATTTTAAATTCAATTTTTTATTTTCTTAAATTTTTCTTTATTTTTTTAAATTTTTATTTTATTTTATTTTTTTATGTTTCTAACTCACCGTTGCACCAAATAAATGGAGTCACGTGCACGTTCCACCAAATCACGTGACTCGTTCAAGCGTAATATGAAACGATTACGCAATGTGCCGCAATTGAGAAAATAAACATATGGACTGCGCTGTAATGAAGGAGAATAAAGATAAGTATTATTAGAAGTGCCCCAAAAGTTGAAAAAAAATGGTTGTAAAAAGAGATTGTTGAACTGAGACAAGGCTGAGTAACAAGCCAAAGCATATAAGCTGATGAGCTATGGATAAATTATTCGATTTCACAACTCTGCTTTGGTGCTTATACATAAAATACATTTCATAAACTTGCCGAGAATTAAAGAAGCTGCAGATAAATGAACGAAATCGAGGCAGAAAATTAAGCAATGATATACATATATTGTACAAGTAACAAGTAACTGATGCCCAGAGTAAACTGAATTTACGGAAGGCACACTTCTTCAGCCTGCTGAAGAGCAGTTAGAGATAAAGTTAAGAGAATGTGAATCAGAATCAACAATCGATGGCGTTAGAGCAGATTTTTCACTGCACGACCTTGCATCGGTGGAGCTCGATGGGTTACCGGTACGGCGGGGAGAAACTGCTAAGGTACATGCATCAGCATACTGCCATGAACCTCAGTGCTCTCTGCCTAATCCACAATAGTGGGGATCCCACAACGTGAGACAAGTCTCCTCAAGATCGTATATATGTAAAGTTCTATCCAGTTTATTGTGTGAAAAACTGCAGCCCACCGTCAACAAACTGATTGGACCTCATCAGTGTGGCTTTAAACCTCGTAAATCAACCATTGAAAAAATATTTACAATATGACAAATCTTGCAAAAGACTCCGAAAAAGAGATTTGACACACACTAGCTCTTCGTCGATTTTAAAGCAACCTTCGGCAGCATAAAAAGGAGCTGCTGGTATCCCCGCGAAACTTATACGGCTGTGTAAACTGACGCTAGACAACACCAAAAGCTGTGCCAGGATCGAGAAGGACTTCTCAGAGCCGTTCGATACCAAACGAGGTTTCATACGGAGTGATCCCGTATCGCATGACTTCTTGAATTTATTACTGGAAAAAATAGTACGAGTTGCGTCGTGAGTTCTGCTTTTTGTAGACAGCACTGTTGACAGTGGTGGCTTTGAGGTCGTAGAAAATTTCGTCTATCTTAGAACGCATAATCAGTTGTGCCAACAGGTGATTCTTTTGACTGAGTAGGCAATTGAAGAGTTAACTCCTCTCTCGGCAAATAAAGACCAAACTCTATAAGTCGCTCAACTTACGCGTCCTGCTATATGGTGCTGAGCGATGAACGATGACAACATCTGATGAGTCGTCGTTTGGAGTCTTCGAGAGAAAGATTTAGGGTAAGATGCGTAAGAAGCAGTGAATGGCGCAATGTTACTACTTCGCCAGTAAAGAAGATTAAGTCAAACATTATTTATGCATTAAATATGCATAGGCTTCCCTTGAGGTCAATTCGTCACCAACCAAATAATTCGCCATAGACAGTAAAAGTTGGTAATCAATTGGTCCGAGGTCTGGACTATGAACTGAACCCACGAAAACAGGCTCTCGGAGCGTCTGGCGAGTCACCATCGTTGAGTGTGGTCTAGCGATCACCACATATTAGAGAAGGAGTTCGGCCGAAAATCGCTTCAGCGGCTATAAAGCGCCAGATATCCTCCTCTAATTTGAGATGAGCGCTTTGGTGTTTTCGCTACAAATGGTGTGACCTACAGTTTATACTAAACCGCCTCATATATATATTTCTGAATAACACCAAGAAATATGCATGAGTCATGAAACACGAGTTGCCAAGCAACCACGCACTAACGTTATAAACGCTGTCAACAGCCTGGCGCAGCTGGAAATTTACGCGTTGCAAAAAATCTGCTTTATTGTTTTTCTTTTATTTTATTTAGAGTTGCATTGAAATTGAATAAAATATGTGCATGTGTGTGTTTATGTATGTTTATGTATGAGTGTAGTATATTGGTTTTGCAAAAATGTCAACTGCATGCGTTTTCAACGCACGTCTGACAACTTAGCCTGAGCAGCAGCGTAATATGGGAAGCTATAAGCAGTAGTAGCGTGTGGAAGAGGTAGAGTATGGTACAATACATATGTACTCGTATATACATGTATTTATTATAACTTTAACTCCATATTTTTCTCATGCCACTGCATCTTCCTTTAATTTCTGCATCAATTGCTACGCTTGCTTGCTTGCAGCTGAGCAGACTCTGTGCTTTTCTTAATCCGCTTCATGCACTACCCAATCGTATGCATTAAGCCATGAAGTTTGCTTTATCTGCGAACGTCTGCAATCAACAACAGCACGTTTTCACAGTGATGAAGTTAATCAAAAGTGAGCAAATTAAATGGTTGCGCTTTGTGGCGTTGGCATGTGAACGCACAATTTCTGCGGGACAATTATGGGAGCGGCGTTGAAAGCGCAATGAATACGGATGCTGCACAAGAAAGAGGGGCATACGAGACGAGATGAGTAGTAAATACACTAAAATACTAAGACGGTGTGAGGATGAAATGTTTTTTATGCTGCACCTCTTCAGCAGTTCAACTTCTTCAGCTCAAACAGTTCTGTTTTGGCTTTCTAAGACTCAGCTGGAGTAACCGTGTTTACGAGATTTCTTTTTATTTTTACACTCACAACAAACGTCACAAAGTAATTCACTCCACATGGATGGGATTTCGGCCGAGGCTGCTTGAAATAAGTTTGCGATATCGAGATGTGGAAAAAGAGCTACAAAACAGGACCTTTTGGTGAAACTCGTAACGGAAAAGAGTTCGTCATTCCATCTACCGTCGACTGGCTATCGCTGAGAAGAGTTTGGGTTACATTTTCTAATAGATGCTACGGTGCAAAGACGAGTCATTTCGAAAACTGCCTAGCTCGGGCTCTGAGAAACAAAAAGACATGCTGTTCCCACTTATTTGGCTTTTTTAAACACTGAAGCGATTTTCGGCCGAGCGCATGCTCCAAACTCTTGGTGTTCGACTTCATGAGCTTCCGAACGGTTGTAGTGATTTTACTGTGGAATTTTTTACTCCATTTCACAAATCCACTCGGAGAGTTTAACCTTTCCTGCTGAGGGGCGACAGCATTTAAAATTAGTTTCTTAATATTTTAGACGTCGATTTGGCTAGGGTTCAACCCCATGATTTTACGAATGATATCAGCTAGTTTTAACTTCAAAAATGACAATTTTCTTTCTCCTTCTTTGAAAGACTATAAAAACTGGTAGGGAGAACTAAAGCATATTCCTTACTTAATGTTTTCATAGGCTTTTCAACGTAGCTCATCCGTAAACAACGCTCAGTATGAGCCAGTTTTTTGGAAGATCTCATGGCACAAAATTCCAAAACAAAAAAGACAACAAAGATGTGTAGGCAAGCCTAATTCATCTTCTCTCTATAAGTTTTTCAATCTTTTATATGAGCGACATAAAGTCTTTTAGCGTGAAAGATGGCAAATGTTGATAGGAAAGCGGAATTTATCTTCCTTAAAGACTCCCCCAGACTCGTTATACTACGCTGAGTTCGGACCAGTTTTTCTGCGAGATCACTTGGTGCAAAGGTCTCTGGAAACTACCTCAAGCAACGATCTCATATTCTGAGGTTTAAAGACAGTTCATAAAACTCTCTCGGTCTGTGAGACAGCATAGGTTGGGAAGAAAGCCTAATTAAACTTCCATAAAAATGTGTGTCAACAAATTAAGTTAAGCTCCGATTAATTTTTTGCAAGGCCACCTGTTTTCTAGAAACTGTTTCAGGAATCTTTTCCCAGCCAAAGTAATTATCTTATGTTTAAGTCTTACAAAGATAATTCCCAAATCTCAGGCCGTGTGAGACAGTAAAAGACATGAAAGACGTATCATTTAACTACCATAAAGGCAGCAGGTTATAAAATAAAGTTAATAGACCTGACGCAGAGTTCTAAAAATGGTTTCTGGAAGAACACAAAGGTCATAATAATAAGAAAAACGAAGATTGTTCTTGAAAATCATTTACTCTGTAAGACACCGAAAATTGAAAAGTAAAATTAACTTGACACTTTAGTTGATTTCATAAGCCCGATAAACTTGTGGTGAAGCATGAATATCGATTTTTGATAGATCTCGTGTAGAATAGTTTTAAAGACGGACATTTAAAGATCTACAATTCCGGCGAAACCATTAATTTTTGTTGCCCTTCACATTTTAAACGTTTAATTACGGTTGGCTTTGCAGAGCCACTGGCTTTCAAGGAGCACAATTCAAGCTCGCTAACTAACAAAGAGTCTTATACAATCACCGTCTTTCAATTTTGTTGTTTTTTTGCTTTCGAAATTAGAGAAGTAACCAAATTTTGAATTATCCCACCAATTGCACTCGCCTAATTCTTCTTCTTCCCTCACCCTTTACCTACGACTGTCTTCTGCTTTTGGCAGCTTTCAAGGCACATTTTGGCACTGTTGTCACTATAAACTTTACGCCTTTCAACACTTCCCTTTTCCTGCACACTTTACTTATGAGCACCAGCGAAATGCACTCGCGACTAAGAAGAAAAGGAGAAATAGAGTTTAACCGCTCGCCAAATTCAAAGGTATCAGCAGACCAAAAGCACCACAAAGGATGCAAATTAATGTGCAAATTTGTTATTGCCTGCCGCAAAAAAGGACAAAAAATAAATAAATAGACATGCGGAAAATTATTATTTTCATTTCAACCATTCTTAAGACACTTGCCGCGCGCTCTTGCAATTGTCTTTGCTTCGCTGCAAAGTTGCGCGAATTTTCACAAATTTGTAAAGTAAAATGCAAGCATGAGCTGCCAACTGCACGCTGCTTAAAGTTTGGCAATTGTCTGGCTAGAAGCGCTTTCAGCGAGACTACACACACACACACAAATGTACACATATTTACATATATGCAGGCAAACAAAAATGCATGTAAATATGTGTGCGTGTGTATGATGGCGGCATAAAATCCACCGGATGTTTGTACTAGTACTTTGAGTGGTGAGAATTTGTGACCGCAAAAATGACTATTCTCCTGAGAACAAAAATGCAAAAAGAACAAAAAAAGGTAAATAAATTAAAAATAAAAAAATTCAAAAA